CATATATTCAGTTAAGCTGCTATGTGTCATGGGGAAGATGCCCCTCTCGAAGAAATGGTGAAAATACAAGCCAAAGTACGAGATTTTGTTTAATAAAAATTGTAACCATTTTATTGTTTGTTTATACTACTGTACAATGAAAAATAATTAATGACCGCCTTGATCTACAAGGACAACATGAAGGAAAGAAAGATAGGTCAAAACGGTGGAATCCACTGCTTAATTTGCAGCAACTGTCCCCTTTCTTCATTTGTATCTAAAAAGTTAAACATTTTTAAAATAAATTTTAATCAAAACTGCATTTCAGGAAACAAACTTTCAAAGTCTTAACCAAAGTTCACCCCCAGTCATCCTGGACTTTATTCCGTTTTCCAAGTAAACCATCGAATCATCTTTATTAATTTGTAGGTTACTACCTTTTTGTTTATTTTTGAACGACCTGTAAACAAAAACAATCCGATGTCTGTATGTATGACAATGCAGAATTTCGTATTATTTATACAAGTCAAAAAAGAAAGCTGAAATAAACGTAGCAATACATAAAATCCCATTGATCTTGTGATCTTTGCATGTTCGTTTTGTTGAAAATTTTAAACCTGGATCTATGCGGAATTGGTATTTGATGGTTAAATCTCAAGAGTGAATTGAGATAATAACCCTAGCTTCATCAAAACGATTATGACATTTGACATTTAAAATTTTTAGTTCTCTGGATACTGGGCTTAATTAGTCGGGCCCAGCTGAGCGCAAATAGTATTTTCTTTCATGATTCCAGGGGTTACAGAGATGCTCATACGTGCCGGGTGACTTTTCGCCCCCGAAAAGCCCACGCAGTCGTCAAACCACACGTTCCGTAGTTAAAAATAGCTTTCATTAGAATACCGTTTAGGTTATAAAAAAGAATCGTCATCGTCCGAAGCATATAAGCTGCCGCCCGCTTGTTGCCGAATAGATGTGGGCTGTCTATTATTGTTGTTTGTACCAACAGTGAATTAATCGAAAACTAGGTAATTTGCGGCTTTGAGGCTAGCGGAGGAGATAAGCGAAATAAGTAACTAAAAATGGCAAGGATGTTTCAAAAATTTATATATATATATATATCGATATGTTTTAGAAAGATATTGACGTATGTCTCTAATCTCTAACAGTTAGGCATAAGAAATCATCGTCCTTAAAAAATGTATATTAATTCATTCATCCTGATATTTTTCTCCAAAAAAAAAGAAGAAGAATTAGATATATTGTCATTCTCAGTTTAGTGGTTTATGTTTCATTCTGTCCCATGATTCTCTTCGGTTAGTTCAGTCGCGGTATAGGATACAAAGACACGATTACTCTTACAGCTTCGTTTTAGTACAGCCTGAATTGTATTGAATATGCTCATTGGCAAATAAATTAATTTTCCAGCGAAAAGTTCTAGAACCGTGGTTACTTTGTGTGCTGAAATTTAAATTTATTATTCAGATTCCTCATTAATTGAACATGGTTTGTAAATATGGATATGTCAGAAACGCACTTGCATCTAGGATAGGTTATGTCACTGCAAAACCTAGTGGTCTTAGCCGATTCCGTGACCATTGTCAAGGTTTTCGAGAGTGTCAGGTAAACCGACAGGTAGTTGACCTATCTGTGCGTTAGTGTTTGAAGTTAGAATTATAGTTACTCTTCAGAAGTTGTTGGCAAAGGAGAGGAGGGTAGAACGGCTTTAGTTTGTACCTGAAGTAAATACTTAGGTCTACTGATAAGATAATATTTTGGAAACAAAAATTAGCAAATGATGTTTATAAACATTAATTCAATTATTTTCGCTGGCATTTACGTAACCCGTTACAACATGAGTTTTTGAAGCCCATTGGCTGTGAATTTATTGAGGCAATAACAAACTAGATTAGACTATCGCACAATTTTCTCATTGTTAAGTTACCACTTAACTTATTTGTTAAGCTTTCCTTAACCAAAAAAGGAAAATTAATGTCTTTAATTATGGAAGTTATTTTGTGAGAGACTTTCGTGGCATTGTAGGGGAATTTGGGCTGATCAACAGCATGGATTTGTAGATAGACCTACCGTAAGAAATTTACTCACCTACCAACAATTTTTATTGAACGAAGTTTGGTCAGGTGGATTGTGTCTACACTGATTCCTCGAAGGCGTTTGACCTGGTGGGTTATGTGCATCTTCGTCTCTAAGCTTAGAGCTAGGGGCTGAGCTCGCGCAGTGGATTCAGTGTTTTCTATCTGGTCGTACTCAGTTGGTTCGTATTAATAATTATGTCTCAGGTAAAATTGATATTTTTTCGGGAGTCCCCCAAGGTTCTCACACTGGACCCAAGCTTTTTAACTTGTTTATAAATGATATTGTTAGTGTAGTTTCGGAGTCGCAGTGTCTTTTCTTTCCAACCCCTGCTCTGCTGCTTCAGAGGGACGTGGTCTAAGATTAATAGTCTGTAGTATTAGTTTTAGTCGTTCGTTGAGTATGGTGCACAACCGATGTAAGGCCGTCACTAACATTAAAGACTTGGATGTTTGCTTTGATTCTAAACTAAGTTTTGTGATACATTTTGCGGAAGTAGTAAACAGGTCTATTCGAGTCCTTGGGTTTGTTGTATGCAATAGTTTTATCTCTTTGCTTCGCTCTAGACTGGAGTATGCATCTGTGGTATAGTCTCTATATTATGCCTGCCATATAGTTAACATCGAAGCCGTTCAGACAATATTTTTAGATCTTTGGCTTCAAAGGCGCATATTAATATCTACAATGGGTATCAGATCAACTATAGTATTATAACTAAGGCCATCAATATTGATACTCTTCAAACCAGAAGATTTCAGAGTGATTTAGTTTTCTCTTTAAGATTCTGAATAGCTGGTGTTATTGTAAAGCTCTTTTACATAGCATACAATTTAACACAAATTACAGAAGCTGTGATAACTGAATTCAGCCGAAAAATTAATAAGTCCACGAAATATCCCGGGATTTTCGGAAGTTTCGCTCTTAGCATGTTACGGGAGGTCCAATTCAAAAGCTCCGCAAAATTTAATACAATTAATAATTTTTTATGAAATAGATACTATTTTTCTGCACTCAGAAACAAAGTGAATGCAGGTCCTGACGGCATATCAAGTTTTACGATGTTTATGCTGTTCCTACGCACTGCGTGAACCTTGGAAAATTTTTCAATTTTCGATCTTCGCAAAAACATCGTTTTTACGCGAAAAGTTCATATATCACTAAGTGATTTTTCAAAGAAACTTCCACAGGCTACTGTAATACTTTTTATAAAACTTCTGGATTCCTCCTGCGTCGGTTTATGTTGAGTCGAACTAGCTAACGTTTCGCCAATCGTTCTGCTGGCTTCTTCAGTGTTTGACCGAAAACTGAAACGTTAGCTAGTTCGACTCAACAAAAACCGACGCCGGAGGAATCTAGAAGTTTTATAAAAAGTATCACTAATTGATGTTCCCTGTCTTCTTATGTCTCTGACTTTCTGATCAAGCAAGGTTAAGTTGACGTTATATACACCGACTTCCACAAAACGCTTGACGAGATAGGTCATCATACGCCGATTTCAGTGCTGAGGTCCTATTTGGTGCACCGTTGACAGTTCGTTGAGATTGAGGGCTTTAGATCAGTTCGTTTTGTTCCAACTTCTGATGAGCATGACTGTTCTAATCTTGGACCACTTCTGCTCAATATATTCATAGATGATCCCATATATTTGATCATCTGCTACGGATTGCATGACTCTCAAGATTGTCAGCAAGTGTAATGTGGTCCTTGTCACCGCACAAAAACTCCTATAGTCTTTAATTACAGTTAGTACAGTACTATTCTGCCTAGATTTGCCACCGTAAAAGATGCGAGGATTTTATTTTACCAGACGTTCTCTTTTATACCTCACATTGGTAAAATGGTTTCCAGTGCAATACAATTTTTTTGAAGATTCTTAATAAGAAATTACAGTCATGTTTGTTGCTCAGCTATTATAATTTTACTGTCAAGTTATGTGCAAGCTTGACTATGTGCAGAGAAGGTTGCTGAAATATCTAAAATTCAGGGAGAAAGAGAGGAGAGTTGATTATGATTTTCTACTGAGCAGATTGGCTGTATCGTCTCTCAGCTTAGCAGAGACTTGCAATCTTGAAGTTAGGAATCGGTTGTCCGTTTCCTCTGGAACACTCAATCAACTTTCTAACCGCAGGTATAGTACGACCAAAAATATAGTGCATTTATTGCTTTGACCTGTTAAGTATTTTACAGTACCTTAGCTGCAGACCTTCGCAGGACCGTCATGTGCTAATGGAATCTCAAAAAATTTCGCAATGGAGGATGGATTATTTAAGCGCAATTGAAAAATTGCGAGGGCAAAATAGACCATTAGTTTATTTAGACGAAACATGGTTCGATACTTACGACACAGTAAAAAAAGGATGATGTGATGATAACTGTAACAAGTGTGTACTAGACGTGCCGCTTTCACATGAAAAACGCATAATAATTCTTCATGCTGGATCCAAAAATGGTCGAGTGGAAGATGCCTTATTTTTGTCTGCCAAAAACATCAAAGATATAAGGGGCTGCGGTTTTGGAGTAATAAACAGTAGGCAAAGTTAATCACGGGGTCGGTTGTAAAAGCACTATATTTCTGGTCGAAGTATACCCAGATCGAATGTCCACTTTCAAAACCCTATTTATAAGATTTATATTATAATGGTATCCAGGCCATACTTGGGCAACTTCGATTGGCGTCAGGATATCCGTACTGAAAAGCCCAATCCTTGTTTCTTCTTTTTTTTTTTAGTTATAAAATTAGTAGATTTAAGAATAATTACCTGTTCTAAATAAAGTGCTATTATTATAACCTTTAAGTTGTGTACCCTGTTTAATAAGTATCGCGTTTTTTTTTTTCTATTTTCATCAGATTTGAACCTGTAATACATAATTCGAGTTTTAACGAATCCGCCAACTATCGCGCTTACTAAAATTGGCGCCGTTTTCAGAATGACGCGTCGCTGACCGAGCCCCTCGACTACACCATGGACTCGTTGCTGTTGAACAGACAGCGCGACAGATCCGCATCGCCCGGTTACGCCCCGTCCGGTTCCTCGTGTCCGGAACCGCTTTCGAGCGAGGACGAGTGTTTCCCCAGGTCGTCCGGTCTAGGCGTGCGCAGTTCCACTCAAATGTCGGTCAGCAGCGAGCCAGCGGCTCGCGGATCCAGGGAAGCGAACGCCGACGCCGTATATCGCGGCGCTTGGCCCGCCATCGAGAGACCGCCCACCCTCTGGAACTCCGAACCCGCTAGTTTGGGCGGTGCCGTCGCCTCCGCCGCCGCCGCCGCCCGCCAAAGTCACCCGGTCGCCACGGTAAAGTCCGATTTAGCACTCGTTTCAGTACTTTATAAAGCTTTTATCGATGTGCGGACATGTTTGCGGCCTAATTTTGGACAAAAGTAAACTTAAGCCTCTTATTTAACATTTTGCCAAATATATGGATCAAATTTTCAAAGTTGGTTAAATCGGAGGTGTCTAATGTTTCAGAAACGGTTAGACGTAGGTACGGACTATGTTCAGAACTTGACACAGAATATTGAATTGTAATAATAACGGGATGTTCCCTTTGAAATAAGCAAGTTGACAGCAACTTTCGCATGAACCCTAAGTGACAGCATCTCGAAAATGTTTTAAAACGCACTTCGCACTTACCTGAACCTCGAAAATTGGAAGACGTTTCTAAATTACATCTCACTAAACTTTTAATCAACGGTTTGGGTGAAAACCCCTGTATACAGTGATTGTGGAATTATTTGACTTTTTCTAAGTTTTTTGCACAATAATGGAACAAACTAGCAACTAGCAACAAACTTATTTTTCATTTAGACTAATTTATTTCCCTTCGAATGAAAAAAAGACACCCGGTATAACGAAATTTCATTATATATGTGTGTATTTGTTGATATTTTAATGACCAATCACATAACCTTTAATATTTCCTAAATTGTACTGAAATCAAATAGGTAGGTCTGATGAAAGTCGCCTTTGTTTTTACCACTAAATCTAAAAACGCAATAAAAAGTATCCAAAGTTCCAAAAAATCCAAAGTTGATGTCGATATCGAAGAATTGGGACACCCTGTATAATACAAATCTAAAAGTGACCTTGAATGTAAAGAACTTTTGTATTTATTTTTTTTAGAGATTTTGATGAAAGTATATGGGTCAACATATATGAGATACCCTGTACAGTTACATAGAAAACATTTTTTTACAATTTGATGAAACCATTTTTTGGTTAGTTACAGTTGGAGATACGCAAAGACAATATAATCGTTTTTTATTTCTTCTGGGAGTTCAGTACCAAAATTTGAAAACTTTATAAATTGTTTCTTCTAAAAAGTCTTATTTTCTTACTCCAGGACGACCTGGATAGATTGTCTCAATGGTGTGGAATTTAATGTACTTAAGTGTAGAGGGGACCTGATATGGCACCGAAAGAAGAAGAAAGAAAAGTGTAGAGTTAGGCTAGAGATTTTGTGAGTTTTGGTTAGACTTGCTGCTTATATAAACTTATAGTCTGGGGTTTGTTAGGCGCAGTACAAGGGACTTCTGAAATATCAATGCCATAAAAACACTGTCATGTCAGGTCACATCTAGAATGTGCTGTTTAAGTGTAGAGTCCCAATTACACCTGTCATCTACAGCGGATAGAAAATATTCAGCGTAAATTTTTGTAATAATCTGGAATTCCAATACTTTTACCTCTGCTCAGCATTACATTTAACAACTGTCGCATATCGAAGGAAAACATGGCACTTCAAAACACTCTATCATATTCTCGTACCTTCCTATTGTGCTATTATTATAATATCTTAAGATCTGGATATTATTGTTGGTCACTTTGTATAGTTTTATCACAACCTGTTATAATTTTGTATTTTGGTTATCTCATTGGTTATCACTCTTGTGATAATGTACGTAAATAAGTTAATACGCTAGTATTTGTGACTCATTTGACGGTTTCGTCGCTTGTTAGGACGCTTCGAGCGTGATGAGTTTCGCTTCCAGTTCGGGAGGGGTCCCGTTGGATCGCGTGTTAGGCAGTCCGCCGTCGAAATGGTCATCGCAACAGCTCGAGGCCAAAATGGACGTCGTGCATGGCTTGCTCGCTATGCTGGGCAGCCAAGAGCACGTCGATATGGGCGAGACCTTACTGGCGTTGAGCGCATGCCCGGAGAGTTGCCTGGCGATGCGGCAGTCAGGTAGGCGGAGCACAATAGAACTGGCCCTCTGTTGGACACGGGGCTAAATATTTTCTTCGGAAAATGAAAAAACTGAATACGGTATTTTCTATATAGTTTCCTTATTACTCTATGCACTCCTCCCAGCGATGATCCCATCTCTCTAACCCGTCCAAATAGGTACCCTCCTCATTTGATGAAAATCTTTGTCCCCCGAGCACAGTTTTCAGATGAGGGAACAAAAAGAAGTCGCTTGGGGCTAGATCTGGTGAGTAAGTTAGATGGTCAAGTAGTACAAATCGTAATTTCTGTCCTCAGCTTGTCAAGTAATGATACATAGTATGCTCCTGTAATCGTTTTTCCTTTTTGAAGGTAATCGATTAAGACGACTTCATGGCTATCCCAAAAAACAGTTGCCATTACTTTCCCAATCGAAAAAACAGTTTTTTCGGAGTCTTTACAGTTCGAAATTCAAGTTCTAATGTGCTACTTCCAGTCGAAATACACCTATTTCTATCAGAACCCCAATCGGCTTTCAACCAACCGTCGAATTTACATTCGCAATTCAGTTTCTGTGCCCTTTTTTGTTTTTGATTAATTTTTCAATTAGGCCTTCTGCTCTATTCACCTTATCATCTCTTGCTATTGGAACGGTGAACGAGCAGCTTGTGGAAGATTGATGACGTTTCGAATGAGACTTTGATGTCATTTTGACGGATCCAATTTTTTTCTTGTATCTCTCACCGCGACATGCGTTTCTGAGCTACAGGGTGATTCTTAGAAATGCGCGTTTCTAAAAACCCTTTATAACTGTTTTATTTGTAAAGATAGAGATTTTTATTTAAAAATATGTTTGAAGATTTTTTAAGGGCAAATCTACCTGTTTCACCGATTTTGTCTTATATAACACAAATGGAATACGCTAATTTAAAAAAAAATTGTTTTCTAATAAAATTTCCTGTCAAACGATGTGCCATACACCTATTTTTATTAGGTGGTTAAAAACATATCTGCAATTTTTAATAATTGCCATAGTAGGCTGTGCTTAACTCTGACCTATGCAATTTTATAGTACCTTTCTAGGTAGCTATGATCAGATTAAAACAAAACAAATTTTAGAAGAGCAGGTAATTCCGTTTATCGACCATTTATACTTTCAACATGACGGTGCGCCTCCTCACAATGGACGAGACATTGCTAATTTGCTAAATAATGTGTTTGCCGAAAACTGCATCGGAAATAAAGGTCTTATATATTGACCGCCCAGCTCTCCAGACCTGACCCCTCACGACTTCTTTTTGTGGGGGAGAATCAAAGACCTTGTATTTCGAAATCGCTCAACTACTAGAAGACGCATTTCGTACTGCATTCAGGCAGCTTCGTCCGTTAGTACTTCTTAACGCAGAAAATAGCGTCAAGATGTAGGCGGTCAATTTGAGTATTTTTTTAGAATTAAAGAAACTTGTTACATGTAGATTTCAAAAAATTGCTTTTAATAATTTTATTTCCGTTTATTATTTTAGGGTTGGTAATTATTGTAAACTAGAAGTTATAGTGCGAGGTTGCTGTGTCCCCTCGTGTCGTAGCCAACCTGGTTTTATATGAAAAAAGAAAAAAACAAAATTTTATCTACAATTGCAAATATATTTTAAAGTATTCAATATAAATGGGTTCGTTCGACGGGAAATTTTATGAAAAAACTGATTTTTTAGAAAAATTGGGGGTATCCCATTTAAAGAAATATAACTAAAAGCTCTTAAGAGAAAACGGGTAAAATAGAGAGATTCCCGCTTAAAAAAATGTTTTTTCCCAAAGCTCTATCCTTACATTTAGAAAAGTTAGAAATTTGGACCACCTTGTACAAAATATCCGCTCGAGATGAAAGTAAGATATAGCACAACACGACTGCCTGTCGTTTACAAAGTTATCATCCCTGCAGTACCTGTCGGATTTTGTGTAGTTTCAAACGTTGCCCAACATTCGGTTAGTTTGACACAGCATCGTTTCACGCGACAGGTTGCATCCCGCTCCTCGTGCAGCTGGTGCAGTCGGACAAGGACGAAGACACGCGGAAGAAGGCGGCCCAGGCGCTCCACAATTTGGTCAATTCGCAGCCGGACGAGAAGATCCGCAAACGGGAGTCGCGGATCCTGAAGCTGCTGGAACACGCGCGCGCCTACGTCGAAGCGCTGAACGCGAACGTCAAGTTCGAATCGTGCTCTTGGAGCGCTTCGTCTTCCGACGACGGCGACAGGCATCCCGTACAGACGGTCGCTCATCTGATGAAGCTGTCGTTCGACGAGGGTCACCGTCAGGCGATATGCCAATTGGGCGGCATCCATTCGATCGCCACGCTGATCGAGGCCGAGCACGCCGCCCACGGCAGCGTCTCCGTCGAGCACCACTGCGTCCTGATGCGGCGTTACGCGTGCATGGCCCTTACCAACCTGACGTTCGGCGACAGCGGGAACAAAGCGTTGCTATGCTCGTTTCGGGACTTTATGCGCGCCCTCGTCGTCCAATTAATGGTGTGTCTATAAGAACTTATCGTTAAATCCCATCAAATGTCATGTCATGACGTATTCACTTAACTCAATGACATAATAGTTCGGCCTCCAGCTACTTTTGTTGATCTAGGTGTCACTTTTGACCCTAAAGTTTCATTCGTTCTGCATGTCGAGACTTAACAGATTTCGAAACTTTAAAGACTCTGTACTACGCATTGGCTAGATGTAAATTAGAATACTGTGATATTATATGGAGTCCGTCAGTACCTCCCAATTGATATACAAGCAATATTTCGCTTCGTAATAGGCATTACAAAATTATTCATAATCAGGTTGTTGATCCTTGCCTCTTATCAAAATTCAACTTTGGTGTTACCTCAAGAGTAGGTCGAACCTTTTACCTTTCTACGCGGCGTACGAATGTTTTCAAATTTTCTCCTTTCCATAGAATGTGCGATCCCTGCAACTCGGCAAGTTTCAAGTTTTATATATTTTCTTCTTCTGTACGTGTACGTTGAAAGCCCTGTTTTGTTCTGACATAAGCTCTTCGTAAAAGCAACTATTCATTTGAGCGGTAAATCTAAGAGAACCATCAAATACTAAGCCGAGATTACGCATAGTCTCCTTTATAGGCAACACAGTGTCCCCGATTTCAACCTTTGTGCTGTCAATATCTAATTTACGTCCTAATAATAATAAAAAGCAACATTACCTATGTCCCTGTTCTGTATATGGGTTTATCATGTTGAACAGTGTATCTAAATAACTAAATAAAATGAATTGCAGAGTCCGAGCGACGAACTCAGACAGGTGACGGCGAGCGTGTTGCGCAATTTGTCCTGGCGCGCCGACGCCACCAGCAAAGAGATCCTGCGCGAAGTCGGCAGCGTCTCCGGCCTGATGAAGGCCGCGATGCTCGACAACAAAGAGAATACGCTGAAATCGATCCTGTCCGCGTTGTGGAACCTGTCCGCTCACTGTACCGAGAACAAGTCGGAAATATGCGCGGTAGATGGCGCCCTCGGCTTCCTCGTCACGATGCTGACGTACAAGACGCCGTCGAAGAGTCTCGCGGTCGTCGAGAACGCGGGCGGCATCCTGCGCAACGTGTCGAGTCAGATCGCGGTACGAGACGATCACCGCGAGACGCTGCGCGCGCACGGCTGCCTCCGCGTCCTCCTCGATCAGCTGAAATCGCCGAGTTTGACGATCGTGAGCAACGCGTGCGGCACACTGTGGAACCTGTCGGCCAAGTGCTCGCAGGATCAGGAAGCGCTGTGGGAGATGGGCGCTCCCGCGATGCTGCGCAGCCTCAATCACTCCAAACACAAGATGATCGCGATGGGTTCGAGCGCCGCCCTGAAGAACTTGCTGACGTGCAGGCCGCAGCAGACGATTCCCACGCGAGCGGATTCGACCGCCCTCGCGCTTAACCTGCCCGAGTTGCCGACTTTGGGCGCGCGCAAGCAGAAAGCTCTGCTCCAAGACCTCGACCACACGTTGAGCGAGACGTACGACAACCTGGACAAGGAGTCGCCGGTGGCCGTGGCGCCGAGGGTTCACCGCGCCTACGCGAAGACGAGCCGAGGCAGCCCGTTAGTATAAACCTACGTTTTGATTCTGTCGGTGGTATTGCACATGGCGGTTTAAACCATTTCGTCCCAGTGGTGGGTTAATGCACCACCTATTTTTTGATGTTTTTGTCACGTCCTGGAAATATTTTTTCACATCCATTTAGAAATTTCGTTATTATCACTACTAAAGGACATAAAACCGTAGAAATCGCTAATTTATGTGTTATATATGACTTCAAAAGTTAACAAAAGCGGTACATAAATTTATATCACATTTTCAAGTAAATCTAAAATAGTAATAAAAAAAATATTTTGGATTTTCATTGCCGTTTTTGTTAAGTCCCCGATTTTTTGTTTATGTTATGGTGCTGAAAGGGATTTATGAAATAAAGAAATGCGGCGTCGTCAGATTGATATTCTCCCTGCTCGGGTCAACTTGCTGCTTTTGTTTCGTCATATTCGTTGAATAAAAGTACATTTTGTTGGACGGTATACGCGTTTTTAGTTTTTTTTTTCTAGTAATTGTGACAATGAAATTTTAATTTGAAAATGTATAATACTTATATTTAATTCTTTTAATGAATAATTATTAAGTTTTTTGGGTCTAAACTAACTGTGTGATTAGGCAGGCCATCACGGTTCACATCTGAAACTAAAAAAATATCCTGAGTACCAAAGATTATTAAGATTAATAAAACACACTTAATATTACTCAATATCACCAGAAATCACAGATAACAGATATATCTTGCATGAAATCTGGAACCGAGTTTAGGTTGGTACTAAGGGCAGAACATACATAGTATCTATTTCAATCACTAGTGCTGGTTATTCCGATCGTGCAATGGATACTAAGGACAGAGACACGCGAAGTATCCCGTAGTAAATAACCACACCGGCACTGAAGGGCAGAAACACGTGACAGTGCAATAAATAAGTCAGACTATAATTTTCTGAAGGGCAGAGACACTCGGCAATGGCCCCGACTTTCAACCAAAATTCCTTTGATATATTTTATAAATTAAAAATGGAACCGAACAACAAATAAATCATTTGGTACTTTGGTATTTTGGCCAATAAAATGAAAACATCGTGAAATGCAAGTGCTGAGAACACTCACCTTTAAGTCTCAGCAATTTCACGGAAGGCAAACAATAGCCCGCACCACTCGAATGTACGGTTAACCGAGAAATGCCGGAAAGATATTACTTAAAATGTAACTGCACCCCAAAACTATGTTTATTATAAATGACGCCCTTCTATTAATCCATATTCTGACAGAGCGAGAAATGCGGGTTTTAAGAAAACTTCTGGCTCACAAGTGGTTGTTTATTGCGTCGTTGTTGTTGTTGCATAATATACTGTTTTGTCCATATATTTCATGCCCAGTAAGCTAATCTAATATTTTCCGCATAATAGCCTTTTTGCCCCGATGTGCGCCGTGCCGCCGCGTCGCGACGACGACGACGACGACGACGACGCCGGCAACGATCAACCCATAGACTACAGCAGGAAGGAAAACAACGACATGGCGTACGCGGAAACGGACCTCGACCAACCGACCGACTACTCGCTGCGTTACGCCGAAGACGATTCCGATTCCGACCTGTGCTGCGCGAAAATCGCGAAGCAGGAATACGTTCAGGACACGGTGAAGACGTACTGCACCGAGGGAACGCCCTACGAGACCCCATACGTCGTTTCGAACGCTACCTCGATGTCGGACCTTCGAACCGTCGGCGAGAAACCCAGGCCGGCGATCGATAACGACGACGTAGACAAAGACAACGGGCCAAAGGTGAAGGAAGGCGGGCGGGGCGGCGTCGACGAGAAGGACCGATGCTCGACGGAGGACATTTCCGAGATGCACGGCTCCGGTCTGATGTCGCCCGATAAGCCTGTCAACTATTGCGAGGAGGGCACGCCCGGTTATTTTTCCCGCGTGAGCAGTTTCGGTTCGCTGAACTCGATCCCGGTGAAGAAAGAGGAAGAGGAGGAGGAGGAGGAGGAACCGTCTAAAAAAGTGGCGAAGGCGCCGGAATCGAAAGCCGTCAAGTTCGACGCCGCGGTCGGCTACGCCGAAGAGACGCCGCTGATGTTTTCGAGGTCGAGCTCGCTCGCGTCACTGGACAGTATCGAACAGCATTCGATTCACGACGATCGCAGCTCGGTCGTGTCGGATTTTAGTCGATTGACGAGCGGCGTCGTCTCGCCGAGCGAGTTGCCCGACTCGCCTACGCAGATGGTACCGCCCAGTCCGAAGGCGTCGACTTCGAAGCCGTCGCGGCGTATCCAGCGCTCGGATAAGACGAGCGTGTTCGAGGACCGAACCACCGGGTTTAAGGAGGAGAGCATGCCGGCGCAGTTCTCTACGGCGACGAGCCTCAGCAGTCTGACGATCGACGATCATCGCGAGGTCGAGACGAAAACGCTGGAGGCGGCGCCCGAGGTTAAGGTTGACGATGTGGCGGACGACGGGAAGGGGCAGGAGAAGAAGGACGAGGAGAAGGAGACGAGCGGATCGGACTCGGCCGACGACGAAGATATCCTGGCCGCGTGCATAAACGACGGCATACAGACCAGCGTGTGAGTACGGTGGTCGCGAGGAGGCGCGATTTAATGCATTTAAACTACCGCGTCTCTCATTCTAGCGGTGATATCCCCAGCTTACTCCTGTGATATTTTCTTAATAACTCAACAAATTCGCAATCTCGCGTCTTGTGCATTTGACCTACTTTATTTCCTGCTTTAGCCTGATTATTATTATTAATTGCATACTATCGTTGACAATCGCGCACTTTGAACATTTGAACTACCGCGTCTTTCATTCTGGCCGTCATATCTCCAGCGTTCGTCTGTGACATTTTCTTAATAACTCAACAAATTCACAATCTCCCTTCTTGAGCATTTGACCTACTTTATTTCCTGCTTTAGTCTAATTATTATTATTAATTGAATGTTAAAATTTGTACAAATGGTCCTGATATATTTACTTAATAATTATTAATTGCGCAATATCGTTGGCAATCGGGCACTTTGTACATTTGAACTAATTTTTTTTTTAATATATTGGAAGCGAACTCTTTTACGGGCACTTTGTTCGTTTTAACTACTTTGCCCTGGTGTTAATTTTTTTAATCCTTGTATGAACCTAATGAACCAATGAATGATCAGATTCGCAATTGAGCGATTTGTGCACTCGAATTCCCAGAAGGTGAACTTCTAATCACCAGTTTTTTTTTTTTCTGTTCGAAACTACTCAACTATAGCGATTATTTTGAGCTATTTTTTAAAATTATTATGCAACAGCCATAAATTGAATAAAAACGTTGATACATTTGAACTACTGGATCCAGGAAACGAAAGGCCCACATTCTCTTGTTACGATTAATTTAATAATCAATAATTTGATAATCAAATTTCACATTTTAAGTTTTGTCAAATATCTTTGTGAACTACTTTTTTCGGCTCAAGTCTCAATCATAAAGTTGACCTTGTCCATTTAAACTATTCATTTCTTTGCTTGGATCATCTGCTGTGGTCTGATTAATAATAATAATTATTATTAATTGGTAAATGTGCATTTGAATTATTTGCATCCTGGAATTAATTTATAACTAAATAAAATTATTGAACATTTACTTATTTTATGCATCTGACCTAGACTATTTTATATGGGAATTCGGTTCGTTAATCTTATTAATAATTGAATATTAAAATTTGAAACGTTGTCGTTTGTGCATTCGAACTACTTAGTCCTGATGATAAATAATAAATAATCAAATTGGCAATTGAGCGTTTTGTGCACTCGAACTACTTTGTTCTGATCAGTCGCTAATCAGTCGAAACAAGTCGTGTAGTTGAGACTTCCTTTTTTTTACGTATTTGTCTGTATGCCATTATTAATTGATTAAAAACGTTGAATCATTTGAACCACTGCATCCTGGAAACTAATGGCCCACATTCCCCTGTTATGATTACTTAATAATTAATAATTTGATAATAAAATGTGCGTTCGAACTTTATGAATTTAATTATTAAATAAAGTCATTTAAACTATTCAATTTTGTATTTTGAATCATTTGGTTTAGTGTCATTAATATTAATAACAATTATTATTAATTGACTAATTTGTATTATTTTATCCACTTTGGCATATTTGGCATAATATATATATATATTCAATAACTTATTAGTTCGGCCATCGCACGCGTCGGTACATTTGAACTACTGCGTAAGGTGGTGAATCTCAAACTTGTAATTAATTTTTAACTTATAAAACTAACCAAGACGATTATTTATTGAACAATTACCTATTTTGTGCATTTGAACTATTCCGTATGGGTAATTTCGTAGGCAAAATCCTACGGCGTGTTCGACGCCGAGCAAACAGTCGAGCGATATACCGACGCTGAGGGGCGGGACTTCCCGGATGACGGCGGCAGAAGAGTCTCCGAGGACGTACTGCACGGAGGACACGCCCGCCCACGCGAGCAGGACCGGTTCGAATTCGAATCTGAGCGCGCTGAGCGCCGACGTCAAAGGGGGCGGTAACGTGTCGGACGATTCGAGCAATTTGTCGGGCGACAACGACAACAACATTTTGGCTGAGTGCATACTGTCCGCCATGCCCAAGTCGAGGAAAGACACGCGCGAAGGTGAGTGTGGTCGGAGGGGGCGTGGTTTTTTGAAACTTGCGACGTCTTCACTTCGAAGCTGCTCGAAAGTTGAGCGTTTCAACCACCGAGTCTTATAATTACTATTTTATTGGTTAATTTTTGATTTGAACTATTCTAACCCAAACTCTTAATTATTGCCTTAATAGTAGTAGTTGCAAAATGTTAAAATATTTTTGCTTTGCTGTTGCTATTGATTTTTTTGACCCTTCTGAAACCCAAATACTCGATGACCAGAAGTTTAGGTAATTTTAAGGCCAGAATGCTAATTGAAAAATTAAAATAGCAAATGTAATCTATACATAGGTATTGAATTCAGACTTATCCTCAGCGAGAGCTCGCACCTTATAAAAACAAAGGTCTTTAAAGTTTTACGAATGTACACTGAATTTTGAGACCCAGAAGGAAAATTTATAAATAACCACTTAAATTTTCAATCCTAACCAAAGAGACGCTAGTAGTATAACACGGCCGGTTCTGAGCCACTTTTTTTTATTTTTGAAAGGTTTACGAAATATAATGTAAAAAATGTAAGAATATCAAAAATATATACTAAATACCACTTAAACCTTTCACAAATTCAAAGAGACTCTAGTAGCTTTGGTTAGTTAGTAGTTTGGTACGGCGACTTCCGAACCACTGCCGTTATAAAAAATGTTTTTCAAATGCTTACGAATTCGTCGAAATGCGCTTAGAAGACTAAATGGACTTTAAATTTTGTTATCACAAAAAAAAATTATATAAACGACCGCTTAAATGGTCGACAAATTCAAAGTGACGCTAGTAATATAATACTGTCGGTTCTAAGCTACTATGCCTATAAAAAATGTTTTTCAAAGACTTCTGAAGTCTAACTAACCAATAGACACTACTAGTATAACTAGTATAACAGGCTTACGAAATCGAAGTGCAGTAAATTTTGAGCCTTAGAGGACTAAATGGACTTTCAATTCTGCTATCACAAAAATAAAATTATAAACAACTGCTTAAATGGTTGACAAATTCAAAGGGACGCTATTAATATGACAGTTATATTCTAAGCCACTATCCCTATAAAAAATGTTTTTCAAAGACTTCCGAAGTCGAACTGTACCAAATTTTCGGTCTTTGAGGATTAAATGGACTTTAATTTCTACCATCACAAAAAAAAATATCGCTTCAACGTTCGGCATATCGAAGGAGACACTGTAGTATAACACGCCCGGTTCTGAGGCGCTGCCTTTATAAAAAGTGTTTTTCAAAGTCGTACGAAATCGAAATTCACTAAATTTTTAGCCTTAGGGGGCTAATTCTGTTATCACAAAAAAAATTATAAACTGGTTAAATTGGTCGATGCATCCAAAAAGACGTTAGTAATATAATATATTAATAGTCAGTTATAAGCAACTATCTCTATAAAAAATATTTTTCAAAGACTTTTGAAGTCTAAATGTACGAAATTTTAAGCCTCTAAGGACTAAATAGACTTTCAGCCCTGTTTTCACAAAAAAAAAATTATAAACCACCGCCTAAATAATCGACAAATTCAAAGGGAAGCTATGAATATAATACTGGCGGTTCTATGTTACTATCCATATAAAACTGGTTTTTCAAAAGTTTACGAAGTCTAAATGCACTATTTTTTGAGTACTATATGGACTTTCAGTTCTACTATCACAAAAAAAAAACATCAATTAAATGGTCGACAAATTCAAAGGGACGCTAGGAAAATAATACTGTCGGTTCTAAGGCACTATACATATAAAAAATGTTTTTCAAAGATTTCTGAAGTCTAAATGGGTTTTTAATTATTCCTTCACAAAAAAAATAATCACTTAAACGTTCGAAAAATCGAAAGAGTAGTATATAGTAGTATATAGTAGAATACCACGGCCGGTTCTGAGGCACTGCCCTTATAAAAAATGTTTTTGGAAGGGTTACGAAGTCGAAATTTTGAGCTTTGGATTACTATATGGACTTGTAATTCTTGTAATATGAACAGACGCTGGTAGTATTGTACTGCCGGCTCTGAACCACTGCATTTACAATTTTTTTTTAACTGCTTACGAAATCGAAATACACACCGAATTTGGTGGCTGATTGTTCAATTAGAGCAAATAGATTCTCCCCAAAAAAAAGCAGTTATAAATAACTATGATGAAAAAAGGCGTCTGGCCGGTTTTGAGGCATTTTTGGCGGGAAAATTTTAATCGCTTAACGGTAACCCCTCAGGGCCGGCTTCGCTGCCCCCGCAACACGTCCCTGCGACGGCGAACAACGGCCCGACCGGACGCACGCCCATGCAGCCGATCAGATTAATGAACGTCGTCGCCCCGCGCAAAACCGAAACCCCGAAAGTGCAACGGCGAAGTCGCGATAATTCCCTGCCGCCGTATTTGATCGGCGGCGGAACGGACGAGGTGGAAAATTACGCGGTGGAAAACAGTCCTTGTCAGTTTTCCTTGCGGAGCAGTCTCAGCGACCTGACCGTCGACGAGAGCGTCGCGGGCGTCAAAACGTAAGCGTTTCCGTCATTCGCCGACTGTTTCGTCGTTTCATTTAGCGTCGTTTAGGTCGGCCCCGACGGGGAGCCGGCAGGCGGACGAGTCCAGTGGCGTCGGGAACGAAAATCGGATAGTTGCTTTGCAGTCGGCGGACCAGAAAGGTAAGCATTCAATTATATTCGATCACAAACGACGTGTTGTTCATCCACTGTCAAAACTTCGTAACTCTTGGATTGAACTCTTTCTATCCACAGCTTGTATAAGTTTAGAGGATCGTTCGCTTTATTTGACTTTAACCGTAATCTTATTATTAATATTTTTTTGCCACGTCTATAACAAATGGAAATATATAGAAAACAATACACACTAGCAGAGACTACAAATAGCTTTTTTTTTTCAACTCACTCACCTCAAAATATATTTCGTTTGTATTTTTAATTTTATTTTCCTGCAAATTTTTGATTGTTTTCACAAAATTTAAAACAATTACTGGTAAAAAGAGTGTTCGCCGTGCACCCACCAACAGATAAAATAGAGAATTATCATTGTTAATATTTTTGAAATTCATTTTATTCAGGATCTCACAATAAAAAAGAGAGAGGAACAAAACGTTTGCTTATGGTGGCAATAAGCATATATTTATGAGTGATACAACTCTCAAAATGTCGCAATCTCAAAGACCTGAGATAAAAACGCCTCAAAATTTAAATCCAAAACAGCCGTCATTTACGATTACGTTTATATTACTTGGGAGTAAAAGAGACAGAAGCAGTTGAACTAGTACTAGTAGTACTCATACTCATACTCAGTGATGATTGATGATTGTCCAAAAACTCTCTTCATTTAATAAAAACTTAAACAATACCAAAAAAAACAATGCGTATAAAATATAATTTGCTATTAGTAAATATACAGTAAAGCATATTTCGTTTGTATTTACGATGTTCCTTCTACTTCTTAGTTAATAACAAGTGAGGGTATAATACGACCAAAAATATAGTGCATTTCTTCTCTTAATCACAGACCTTCGCAGGATTGTGGTAAAACCCATCTCAACAGATATTTATTCTGCATTCTTGCCTGACGAATATTTGTAGAAACTTGAAAATTTTATTTGAAACGTGAATAGATCGTTTTAAATTTGATTAGGCATTGAAGCTGCGGGGTATTGTCGATTAAGTAGAAGCGTTTATTTTAACATCAGGTGATAAGTATCGTTAATAAGAGTTTCATCTAAATTGCATTATGTTCATATATGTAACTGTGATTCATATAAGAAGAAATAATATTGCACCAAAGTTTAGTGTTAGTACCATAAGAAGGAAATATTTATCGAGAACGATTAGTGTCGGAGTTGATCATTGAACTAGATGACGACAGTAGCGATAGTGACGATATTCTAAGCGACTGATACTTTATTATTATTATATTTAATATTTTGTATATTAATAATGATACCATGTACAAATGTAATGAAATAGAACGTAATAAATAGTTACTTTGTATGGGCTGCGGTTTTGGAGCAATAAACAGTAGGCAAACTTAATCACTATATTTCTGGTCGAACTATAACCGGTTTATAAGTTTTCATCATTACGCTACTTTCTCTCTCTCTTTAAAGTCGAAGATAAGCACAACGTTTCTCGGGAGAGCAACCCGAACCCATTGGACAGGAAAGAGTCGCTTTCCTCCCTCAGTCTGGACTCGATGGGATCGATAGAGGGAGAACAGGCCCTGCTCGAGCAATGCATCTACTCCGGCATGCCGACCGACAAAGCCGAAGAGGCCCTACTCAAGGAAGTCATCTCGGCGGGGATGCCCAATAGCGGCGTCGACAAGCCGACCGAGACCGTTCCGAAGCCTCAGCCGAGGGAGCGGCGTCCCAACGAGAGACCGTCGTCGTCGTCGATGGAGTCCAGGTCAAAAAACGGGAATGTTGCGTCTGTTGCCGGGAACATCAAGTCGGTGGAGGAGGGGGAGGCAACGCGGCTTCCACCTCCGCCGACAAACGAACCTTGTCCCGAACCGTCGATCGCGGCGGCAGGCGTAGAAAACGGTCCCGAACGCGATTCGAGCGGAACCGAGAACTGTTGGTTCTCAGATCGAGCGGCGGAAACGGAACCCGTGATGCGGGAGGCGGTGGAGGGGAGCGCGAGCAGACGAGGGGGCGGAGCGTCGTCGGTCACAGGTACATCACCGGACAGATTATCGCCTTCAGGAGGGATCTGCTTAACAGGTGGGTAGAGGGGCGCGGTATTTTTTCCTCTTCCTCTTTTTCCGGCAGCATTTTGATTGTAGGAGAGGTTATAGGAGTCTTATCTATAGTCGTTCCTTTAAGGTAAAAGGGTAAAATCTAAGATGTTCGTAGAGACACTTGGAATTATAGGAAAGCCTATAAGGGTATAATTTTGTTCCTCAAAGGTAACCTCAAAGTTGTTCTTAGAGACATGCGATATTTTTTCGTTTTCATATTTTTTCAGTAGCATTGCGCTATGGCAAAGCTCTCTAAGATAACCTCGAGGAAGACCCTAGAAGGCACTTGGTATTTTGTTCCTTTTTTTGAATTATAGCAAAGCCTACAAAGAAAATGGTTGTTGTCCTAATATAACCTCAAATGTGTCCGCTTTATTTTTTCCTTCGTCTCTTCTTTTTAAAGCAGCTTAACGTTATAGAAAAGCCGTGTAACTGTCTGATCTAGTATTAGTATTATTTTTTCCTGCCTCTTTTCTTTTTGCAATGTAATAAAGCTCAATAACGATCTAAACTATCTCCAGGTTTACCTTCAATCATGTTTATAGACACCACTTGGTATTTTTTTCTTTTTTTTTTCCCCAGCAGCCTTGAATTATAACAAAGTCAAGAAAGTAACAAAGAAATGATGGTTCCTTTAACATAACCTCAAATATGTCCATAGAGAAGCGTAGCATTTTTCCCTTCCTCTCTTTTTACAGCAGCGTTGCATTCCAGAAAAGCGGTAGATTACGCCCTATAGTCGCTTCTCCAAAATAACCTTAATCATAGATATTTAATATTCATAGATACTAAATATTTTTTACATCTTTTTCCAGCTGCCTTGAATTATGGCAATGCCTATAAAGAAGATGGTGGATTACTTGGAAATTTTTTGTTCTTTTAAGGAAGTATGATATTTGCCCTTCGTCTCTCTCAGCAGCCTTGAATTGTAAGAAAACTCCTCAAGATGATGATAGATGGTATTTTTTTCTTCTTCTCTTTGTTTTCTAGTAACCTTGAAAGAAAGCCTATGAAGGTATAGTAGCATAGCCGTGGTATTTTTTCCTTCTTTTCTTTTTACAGCAGCATTTTGTTATAAAAAAGCTCCAGAGCGACCTCAATGATTTCTTGGTATTTTCGTTAAATTGCCAGCAGCCTTGAGAGGAGACCCTAGAGGCACATTAAATTCGCTTCTTTGTCCAGAAGCCTGGAATTGTAGGAAATCCTATAAAAGTCGTTCCCCAAGCTAGCTAGAGTGTTGTGAAGGCTACTTCTAAGGTGCCTTTCATGTCCATTGAGACACTTTCCTTCTTCCCTATATTTCTCTGCAACCTTGACTTATATTAAAGCCAAGGCAAAATCTTCTCTTTTTCAGTAGCCTTGAATTACTTTAGCAAAACTTACAAGGGTCTCATCTAACCTATAACTCTCATTTTTATGATAAAACTCGAACATCAAAACTTCCCGCCCAATAACACCCTTAAAGTTGCCTCCTTTGCTACCTCCAGATCGAACGAGGAGTGGATCTAAGGAGGACGCGCTCCTGGTCGCCAGCTGCGTCGACGGGCGTTTCGCGAAGAGCTGCGAGGAGTCCGGCAACCTGGTGGACGTGCGCATGCTCGATCCCGACGCGATGATCGAGTCGCTGGATCGTTTCACGGCCGAGCTCGTCTCCCAAGCGAGCCACCTGACCAAAGACAAGACGTCGACCAACGAGAGCAGCAGCACGTGGAACGACGACAGCACCTCCCCCACGAACGAGGCCACTTTCCCCAGTATATCGGGCAGCGCGCCCAACGTCGTCACCTTCGAAAGCGACAAGGACGACGCACCGGAGGAACGCCCGTCGAACGACTTCTCCACCACATCGACGATGACCGAGTCCACGTTGATAGCGATGGAGGCGACCAGAATCGCGACAGTCTTCAAGCGCGAGGCGGAAATGTCACAGAGCGCGGCGTCTCTCGAATTGGACATGGTGAGACCTCCGTCGCAGTTGAACTCGCTGACGACGATGGCACCGCCTAGTCCGAAGCTCGGCACCACCAGGAAGCCGTTATCGTCGGACGTGCTCGTCAAACGCGCTCTTAATCACCGCGCGGATAGCTTCGACGGCGTGACAGAGGAGGTGGACGAGAAACCGAATCCGATATTCGACGTGAAACAAAAGTACATGGTCGATTTGGAGTCGACCAATCCGCCGTCGATATTCAGCGAGATAACGGACATGTGCGACTCGTTGGCCGACGTGGCGACCGAGACGATCGGCGCGGACAGCGACATCTACGAGGACTGCGGGTGGGCGGAGTCGAGCGCGCGCGACGACGATTTTTCGGACGCCAACAGCGCGACGCCCCACGGTTCTCCGGTTATACGGTACGGTAGATAATAATAAAATAATTTTACAGGGTTCTTCCACAGGCTGCTGTAATACTTTTTTTAAACTTGTGGAGTCCTCCTGCGTCGGTTTTTTGTTGACTTGTTCGCCAATCATCCTGTTGGTTTCTTCAGAGCTTGATTGAAACTGGCTCTCATTTTACTCAGTACCTGCTTATATATTGTTTGAGGGGGGCGGAGCTTAATGGGGAACACAAACACCGTCTCGGATGACTGATTCCCATAGGTAGAGACCTGAGTCGCGGTTAAGATTGTTAGGTTGCTATAGACTCTGGGATATTTCGTTGGTAGAAGAATTGATTACGTGCAAGAATTTTAGTTTTATCGAATAAAATTTTATGTCCGGTTTCGTGATTGTGTTCAGCAACTGCTGATGAGTTTATTTGTCTTAGTCGTAATGCTCTTTCGTGTTCTTTGAGCCTAGTTGATATTTTTCGTCTGGACTCTCCGTATATGGCATCTCAAATGGAATTTTATCTTTGGCGGGTCCAAGATGTTGAGAGATTTTTGGTAAATCTGGTTTCGACGTTATATTTCTTTAGAACTTTTGATACGTGGCCAGTGATGTTTTGAATATAAGGGAGGACAACAGCGGCAAGTGTGGGATTGCTTTCGGTTTCATTGCTATTGGAAGGTTGTGGTGAAGTGTATTTTGTGATGGAACGCTTAATATCTTTAATGTGAAAATTATTAGAGAGAAGAGCAGAGAAGAGAGAAGTAAGGTGTTTTAATTCTGGGTTCAATGACTCGGACTGAAATAGTTTTACGACTCCGTAAACAAGAGAGTTGATAACCACATCATCATCCGGCCCAAAAATCATCGTTTATTAACTCTCTTGTTTACAGAGCCGTAAAATTATCTCAGCCCGAGTCACCGAACGGAGAATTAATTCTACCAATGAAAAATCCGAGACGATGTTTATGCGCCTGAGTAAAATGCGAGCCAGTTTCCGTAAAGCTTTGAAGAAGGCAACAGTGTGATTGGCTAAACGTTAGTTAGTTCGAGTCAAGAAAAACCGACGCAGAAGTTTTATAAAAAGAATTATACGGGGTATTTCGGAAAACATGTTCCTCACCTCAAATAAGACTTTTTTTGAAATCAACTTCGTAGCTGCATTGCTGGATTTAGGTGTCGATTTGTTGCAACTAAGCTCAAGATGTTAGTTGTTCATTTGGAATGGTAAATTCATATAAAAACTGTTATGATTTTACATCGAAACTATTATTGTCTGTTAAGAATTTAATTATTTCACCATTGACAAAATTATTAAACCTATGCACAGCTGAGGGAACGTATTCTAGTGTCTTAAAAATGTCAAAAATTGTACCCCTGCCCAAAAAGAAGAATATTCAATCTTTAAATGATTTTCGCCCTATAGCTGTTCCACCACTCTTTTCAAAAAATTTTGAATGTCTTAAAAACTCAAATGACAAACTATTTTGAGGTAAACTCATTGTTTCACGAGCGACAATTCGGTTTTCGTTGCGGCGAGTCTACTGTGGAAGCTGCTAGTCAGAAATAGTACAGGGCTTTGAAAATAACAAATCTGTTGGTTCCCTTTTGTTTGATTTGCAAAAAGCTTTTGATTGCGTAAATCCAACTATATTACTGCGGAAGTTAAAATATTATAATTTTACTGATACAAACATCAACTTAATTGCATCATTTCTAAACAATCGTAAGCACTGTATGACGGAACGAAGTCTCAGGTAAAAAAAAACCCCGCTGGTGTTCCACAAGGCTCCACGCTTGGCCCGGTGTTATTCTTAATATACATAAACGACATAAGACTGACTGATATTGATCAAGGGACTATCTTACTGTTCGCTGACTATACGGTTGCAATATATAACGACTGCAATTTTCTATCTTTAAATAATAAGTTAAATAATGGAATGTCTATATATATAATTGGTGCAACTGCAATTTACTCAGTCTTAACCAGCAAAAAACACAGCAAATAATTTTTACTTCGTGGTTACGAAAATCCGGCCTCAGTAAAATACCTAGGATTTCATTTTGATCCACAACTAACGTGGAAAGATCATGTAGACAAATTATGTAATAGGATATATTTTTAATTAGATCACTGCCTCGATCTTAATGTCGGCTTACCACTCTCTTTTTGTCTCAAAGTGTTCTTACAGTTTTCTTTACAGAGCAGATTGGTGAGAGTATTGTCGGGAATAGGATATGCCGATGACGTAAGGCCATATTTTATTGGCCTCCGTATTCTAACGTTGCCAAGTCATTATATTTTATTGTGTCTCTCTATACGACAAATACTAATCCACGAACTTAACAACCGTGGTACAACTGATATAAGATTGCCTTTTACAAGATTGACTCATAGCAGGTACTTTCGTAACTATTACGGTCCTGTCTTATATAATAAATTACCCAACAAATTCAGGGATTTAAGTTTGAATGTGTTTATAGCGAACTTAAAAAAAAATCTGCTTGAAAGGGCTTTGTACAATATACAAGAATATTTCGAGTTTGATTGTTATTATTATTTAAATTTTGTAAACTTCGTTTTTATTAACTTGTTTTGTACATTGGTATTATAATATGTATAGTATCTTTTGATATCTTATACTTTTTAGTTGACGTGTGAAGAAAACGATTGTTTTATTGTAAATATCACGAAATAAATTTGAATTTGAATTTGAACAGGTTGGCGTCGATACAGACGGACGCCAGTAGCGCCGAGTCGACGCCCGAGAGGAGCCAATCGGCGTCGACGAAACGACGACGTAGCGTCGCCCGAGATCGTTACAAAACGTACACCGTCTCGGCCGCCGAGGTTGTATCTAGCGAAGTGGGAGGAGTCGAGCCGGAAGAGGCGTCCCCATCTAGCGTCGGTTCGCCGAAACTGACGCCGAAAGAGCGCAGAAAACTCGACCCGGCCAGGTACGACACGCAGGTGATCGAGACCGTCGTCGAGACCTCCCCCAGGTCGAAGCTGAGCATAAGGCGGAGCTTTATGCAGAAACGGCTCGCGAATCGGGATCGTTTCAGGACGCGAACACTGAGCGAGTCGAATTTCTCACCGGACACGGCGTCGTCCGACTTGCACTTTTTCATTCGCACGGAAGCGGACTTGGTGGTGAAGACGCTGCGGGACGCGGCACGTGACGACTTGCTCGAGTGCGAGACCCTCAGTCTGGTGTCGAACGACGAGGATTCCGAACACAATTCGGGTGGTTCTACGGCGTGTAGAACGTACCACAAGAGTTGGGACCCGCCCGTGTCGACACCGGAAGCCGAAGGGGTGGAGCAAAGGGAGTCGGCGCCGGCGAAACCGAAAATCGTCAAGCCGGAGCTGGAGGAGAGACGGGAAGAACCGGAAGAGGCGCCGAAAACGGTCCGGGGACGTAGGAAGCCGCTGTACTCTCCGCGAACCGTGACCAAGGCACCGGCGTCGTCGTCGTCGAGGTCCGCCCCGAAGCCGCCCGCCAAAAGTAGTCCGAAACACGTGCTGGCGCCGCTCGAGCGTCAAGGCACGTTCACCAAAGACGAGACGCCGCCGCAAGCCGCCAGGGGGGCGGGGCAGCAGCGGTCCAAGATACCGGCGTTCGCGAGTAAAATCGCCCGAGCGGTCACCACCAGGATACCTGCGGCGGTGACGACGACGCCCAGTCCTCCGTCCGTCCTCAGGAACGGCGGCGCGAAATCTGCGAGCACCGACCGGACGAATGTCAATAGAAATTGGAGAATGTACAATAGGTGAGAATCGACGAACGCCACGCCCTTAATCGGATCTCTCGAATATCCTAAATTCATAAACTAGTGAGTTAGAAGATGATTAATCACAAACGCAGGGCGTTCAATTAGTGTGCGAAAGTTTTACAAAAGAATGTTAAATACAAAAGTTATTAATATAAAATGATAATAATTACAGTCAAGATTTAGATTAAATTACTTTTTACCAATACAAACTAATATAGTTACACATATCAAACGGCGAAGTCTAGTATAAGATCTTGATGTGAGCTACTCAAAACAAGCTGTAATAATAACAAGAGGCTAAAAGTTCAGAGACGTTTGTAATTCCCATAAATGGACCTTAAATTTTTATTATAATGATTATATAAAGCTTAATGGCCTTATAGCTCAAGCAGCGTTCAAATTTGCAAGAATTATGCGGAATATTTTTTGTCCTTAGAGCATTGCGAATTTCATACCGAAACACTAAATGATCTTTCTGGTACGTGAGTGAAGAATATATCATACCCTTAAATACAATATTTGCTAGTAAAAATCGAAACAAGTATTTAGTTTTAAGTCATTTCAACGCAAATTATTTTTTCTGATATACGATCAGATGTTCTCAAAAGATAGATAGATAGTTTATTGACTACTTTACAATATCATTGTTTGTAGCAAGTCATACAAAGGAAAAAAAATTAAATGAAATGTATGTAAGTATATGCTAACATAAAATTGTATATAACGTCATAATATACTAAATCTAGATATACAATGTATATAACTTCATAATAACAGTATATAGCACAGAACAATCATTAAAATATAATCAATCAATCAATGCACAATGCCCCTCAACACGTCACTACCGATGTTTTCTTCAAAAAATTCACCCACGGTATAATAATCCTTACTTAGAAGAAAACTTTTAATTTTATGTTTAAAATGTTTTTCGTTTAAAAGTTTAAAAGATTTTGGCAATGCGTTATAAAGCTTTATATAACGAGAGTTTTGTTTTGATTTCTGCAATAAAACGCATCGGACACAGTTCTGTTTTTTTTTTTTGAAATTTGGATTTATCAGCAACGATTAAGAATGGATAATAAAATATAAGACAGTATATAATTTCAAAAAGGATCCATGCCTCGGAGAGTTTTTTCATACTTTAAAATTCAATATAGATTTACTTGCATATAGCCTTTTGAGGGATGCTTAAGTCTTCTTACAAAAATTAAAAATACGGCCACTATATCTCAAGTTTTTTGCTTCATTTGTAAATTTTGGATCCACTTGAATATTAATATGATCCCGCAAGAAATTATAGCTTCCAGGGTGAGCAAATGATGTAATTTGTGTTTTTTTAGAATTTAGCTTAATATTGTGTGTGTTACTAAATTGAGAAAATTTTTTAAGATCCAAACTAAGGTTAGCTTGGTAAATTAAAATTAAAATTTTTATTGACGCATTTAGCATTTACGATATAGTTTAACCTAAGAAAAATAAGAAAAATAGTACCCACACATGTCAATCGAGTAATAATACTTAATCCAAACAACACACCATTGCTAAACTACCAAGTTGATTAAAAACAGTCTTCTTTACTTTACAATTAAAACTACTGAGAGAGTCAGAAGATATTTATTAAGTATAATTAAGTAATTAAGCTGGGTATCATCAGCATAGAAATGGATTTGAGAAAATTTGAGCTCCTTAAACATATCAAATGTGTCCAATAGTTACAACAGAGGTCTAAGAATTGAACCCTGTGGCGCTCCCGAAGTAACGTCACTCAAATCTGACGTGCGGATATCATTTAAAGCGTCAAAAAAAATCCGAAATGAAATCTGTATTAATTACACCACAGTTTTTAACGAACTGCATATTACTTACCGAAATAAATATTTAAATTATAGCGTATTAAACATACGGTATTTTTGAACGCCAGTTTGATTTGGTTTTTAAATCAAAAAATGAAAATGAAATGAAAATAATTTTAAATTGTTTCTTTTAGTCTTACCGGTAACTTTTGTATTTAACATTTTTCTCTAACTTTTCATATTACTAATAATCGGTCTCCAATCACTAAAGTTTGAAATTTTGAACTTTTCAGTTGACAGAACAGCTCAAAACGGTCATATTAATTGATATTTAATACGTCTTCTCTCGATGCAAGAGTCATTATTTCTAACAAATACTGTCTAACATTCTCTTCTTCCACTGTGTAAATACAACAAATGTGTGTGTGTGTGGTGAAATTATTCCGTAAACTTCTGCGCAGTACGTAGCGTCTCCTACCCGCTCCTCTCCCATTTCCTTGTTTGCGTGCGTCGTCGTAAAATCGCCGCCCTTTCTCAGATCTACCAGCGCGGACAGCAGAGAACGTCCGGCCACCTCTGGCCGCATCCAAGCTTCTTCTTCGACGCAGAGCTTACGAAACGAGTCCAAGTACCAAAACGGTAACGCAAAGAAATCGTGCATACCGAGTCCGACTCAACGGTCGGCGAGCAGCGCGAGCCTAGCCACGCCCACTACGAGCACGAAAAAGCAAGTGACGAGCAAGATCGCGAGTCTATGGAAGCGGGTCGAGGAGAGTAAAACGAAACAGCAGCAGGTCGCGAAAGACACGCGGGTGTGGATCCAGAACGGGGCGCCACCCAAGTTGGTCCGCGGCGACACGTTCGAGAATAAAGAGGGGGTGGTGTTAAGGAAAAAGGCGTCGGGTGACGTCGGCGACGAGACCAAGCGGGTTTCGAGGTTAGGCTCGTTTATCGTGGTGAACGAGGACGGGGAGGGCGTGTCGACCACGCCCAACGGGTGCACCGTGAACGCAGTTTGAGGCTAGCGGGGCGGTTTTTTTTAAGGTTATGTCATAAAGGTGTTGTGGTTGCTGGCGTGCGGATGTCCTTGTCACGCGTCGAAACGAAAATGCAGTTGTTTGAGTTAAAAGTCGCTCGCGTTTAATTACAAACATTGCATCTTTCTGTATGGGGGGAGAGGGTGTTTTTTAAGCCATGTTTTTTTCTCTAGTCTTCGTTTTAAGGTTCGTTTAGGCTTAGTGTTTTTTTTTCGTTGTTGTACTATATATATACCGCGTCGTGAGAGTGACAGACTGTATATAATCTGGCCGCGTAGTTTCGTAACATTTGTATGAGAATTGGGACTTTTATAATTTTTGTTTTTTTTGTATTTCGTATCCGCCCTCAGGGCGGGGTTTTTCTTGTGACCCTCTAGTTTGGTTTCTTCTTTACGTTGGAAAATAAAAAGTGTCTCGCTTTCCGGTTGTTTTATTTGCTCTCCCAAGATAAAAACGGGCCGTGGTTTACAAATAATCACTTCGACTTAGTTGAACGAACGCGGTAGCAGCACAAGCTAAATAACGGAACTAATTATTTTGAAGCATGTCCCAATCGGTGACACTCGCGTGGGGTAGTGACGCCACCTCGTTAAATAATGGAACTAATTGGTTACGTCGTTGCTTAGAAAATAGCTCGCGCGTGTTGTAGTAGCGCCCTCTATCGTTAAGTCGTAGAACAAATTAGCGTCATTAGATCACATTGTTGGAAATAATTAGTTAAGTCATAATGGAGATGGTTTTGACGTATGATAGTGGCGCCATCTCTCGTTAAATTATGGATCTAATTAGTTATGTCCCGGTAGATGGCTCTCGCGTTTTGTAATATCGCCATCTCTCTTTACGTCACGTCCTAATAGATGGGCTCTTGCGTGTGGTATCAACGGCATCTCTTGTTAGGTCATGGAACTAATTAGTTGAGGCAACCGATGATGATTTTTTAATTATTTTACCAATTTCTCTAAAGGATTTTTTCTATTTCCATAAGTCTACTATGATTTTTCGAAGCGGAATTGGAATTTCGCAATTTTTAGCGCTCATTTTGCTTTTACTTCAAAACCACTGACTTAAAAGGGACGTCAAAAATAAACAACTATAACTTATTTGTTTTAACGAAATTTGATTCAAGCCGACTTGATAAAATACTAATAATTAACGGTTCTACTTGCACGTCCGAATAGTGATTTATTAAAGTGTATGGAGACTTATTTGACATTGTTTCTTGCTTCTAAAGCTGCCTTATTTTTTATCGTTTAAAGAAAATGTTTCAAATAATTTGTATTTTATTTATATTACTCTGAATGAGATTGCCGATATTTATTTCAAATATATTTCTCATTAAATGTAAGTTGAAAAAGAAAATAAAAGAAAAAATACTACGCGTACGGAGACTTTTTTGAGCCACTGTATGTATTAATATTAATAAATTTAAATTCAGAATTTAACCATAATCTTGTATTAAATATCACTTTTATTGGGGAGGAGGCATGTTTTTAAAAGTCTATGCTTTGTTGCTCCGCAAAATCACCGACACAATTTCTTAACTGTTCCGAGTATTTCGGCTGCGAACAATTTTTCAGCCCTTTTTCGCCAATATAACCAAAACCAAACTCCCAAACGAAGGCGTCGCTTTTCTGTTGTCATGGCAACTGCCTAGATCCACAGAATAGTACGAATTCAATTATGCCTTTCACAAAAAAATGTTGGGCACGACTGCTAGGATCATTCGCCCATTGCCGACTTCCGTCGAGGACTTTCGCTTCTGGTCAATGACCACCACGTACAAAGAAGAAAAACAACCAATAGTTTGCTCAGCTAGCAAAAAGCGATTCTGACAGATGCCAAAAAAAATCGGCTTCCCCCCGCTTCCACCTAGGACCATCCGGCCTCCATACCGGCGTGAACAGGGAAAACGACGGGGCCGACGACGATTATCACTTTAAAACGTACACTGAACACTCAAAACACTAAATCCACACCGTGGAAACCGATATCAAACTTATTGGGACGAATACAAGGGATTCTGTCGGGAGCGAACGGAGGTTAAACCGCCGTGTGCAATGCTCCACCACAGAATCAATAGTACGAATTAATGATGAGACAAATGATTTCTTCTTCGATATTTTCTCACCGTCGACCAATTTGCTAAGGACACTCGCCCGTTAGCAATTTCCATTGGAGCGGCAATTATAGTCACCACCTATCCAAGTCTAAATCTAAGTTCTTCGTCAACAAAGTTCACTATCAACGCGATATAATACGCACCGAAGCGGCGGCCTAAAAATATTTACATACATAACAATTTAATTTTTTTTGTCTAACCTAACCTTGCCAAATTCGGCGTTATTAGGAGTCTGTTTTCGCCGTCCATAATATTGTACGGACACACCTTAGAAAAGAACTTTTATTAAAATGTAACAATTCACATACGAGAAAACAGAAACTAATGTAAGTGTTAGAGCTTTTTTTGGGGTAAATTTATGGTATTGGAAATGTTCAGGTCGGGAACACTTTTCACTAAAACGTGTTCCTCTTTGGGGGTCAGGTTGTTAAAGAACACTTTTCCATATTCGAAAGATGAAATCATAATCGCGCAAGCCGGAGATACTTTAATAAGTCTGGGGGCTAATCCGGCGTAGAGCCCCCTTATCCCGTTAGTCCTGTAGATATCCCAGAATATTGTCGAGGTGGTTCGCGATTTTGACGGTTTCCCGTTATTAGCGAAGAGGGTGGAGCCGAACTCGATCTGCTGGTGTGTTTTGACCACGTCAAAAGGAACCGTTACAGTTGCCGCTATCTAAATATCAAAGGGGATTCACTAAAATATATTTTAGCTTATTTTGAGCGACTTACGCTCCCCGATATAGCTCCAGCGAAAAAACTAAGCGCAAAGGATGGCTGGTCGTACCTCCAAACCGACTTAATCGTTTCATAACTCATCCAGTATATTGCAGAGAACGGCACATCTCTGAGAAGTGTCGGGAATATGCCCTTCCACAATCCTTTAATTCCGTCAGTCTTTAACAACACTTTTAAAGCCTCACCGATTTCTGAAAATCCCCATGTTACACGATCCGAGCCTGAAACTCGACGGTCAGAAACTACTACCTAAGTAACTTAGTTTTTGCGACTGCATTTTGGTCCTAATTAATTCGAGAGGGCTGACTATGGTGACCGACAAAATCCTAGCCGACGCTCCCGATACGAGTGGTATCCAGAAAGGCTGCTTCGCCACCTCACCATTGTTATTTTCATTGTACATTGATTTTAATTTTAACCTAAGCTGATCGTACGTTACAAAATAACAGACCGTCGCGGGTACAGACAAAACTAACGTCGGGCTTAGACCGCTCCACAATGAAGTTATGCCTTCGTTACGTCCTATTTTAATAAAAGCATCCTACAAATGAAATTTCTGTCCTGCTTTGCTTTGCATACCAATGCGCAAACAAGCCGAGCGGGAAAGAATACGTACATAAGTACCTACCAAAGTCCCGTGGAAATGGCTCGGTCTTTTAAACCAGGGATTGTTGGGATCTGCGGGTTGACAACTGCAGATATGGTCCATTAATCCGTTGCAATAAAGAAAACAGTTTTTCATCGCTTGCTGCTGCGCCTGCATCCTGATCTTAATAACATCTAACGGCGTCACTAAAAACCGGCGCTCGTTAACGCTTAGTAACGCGAAAAACATCAAACTTACTAATAAGAGAGGTTAGGAGAGCCCCTGTACAGGACGCAAGAGCTTGCTGAAACGGCGTAATCCTGTATTGCGGGGCGTCATAATCTATAATAACGGCCTTATTCGATGCCATCCTTATTTTGCTAATGCAATTTAGAAACTAAATCTAAAACACAAATTTTGAAGCAAACACATTTTCAAAAATCAACGTCCCTGAGAAACCAAAGATCTACTTCTTTTGTTTCCCACACAGTTAGGCAAAATACTATGATTATTTGCCCGGGACTGATGCTCAAAAATGTATTTTGAAGGATCGAAGGGTGGGCTAATGATCCTGGTAGCCGTGCCCAACAGCTATCTGTGAAACGCACCATTGAATTGAATTGAAGGATCGAAGGCATAGATTAGAACCATACCTTTGCCTTTATCATAATTATAAAAAATAATAGAGGGTGTTCTGCGACACCCAGTTTGTGGGTCTGTATATTCTTTTTTAATAAAACGTTTAAAATAATAAGAGTTTTAAGTGGTAGATATCTTGCACAAGCGGTAAAGACATGCTTCAGTGTTACAACCGTGGTTGCGGACAAAAATACGACCCTAATGGTAACACCGACGGTAAGGTTATAGTTCTAGCACTTTCTACGAATTTCTCAAACGTTTAAAATGTTTTGAGGAAAAATAGTCTATTATTAAAAACAAGTTTTATGCAGACTGTTGTAGACACCACCCCGGTGCGCCGTTTTTTCACGACGCTTACAAAGGATGGTCATGCTGTAAGCGAAAATGTACAGACTTTACCGAATTTCTCAATATCAAAGGCTGTACCGTCAGTAAACATAGCAACGTGAAACCGCCGGAACCGGAAAAACCGAAAGCGGAAGTTATACCCGATAAAGAAGTTGTGGAAATAAAACCTCTGGTGTCTCCGTCGATAGTTAGACCGCCTCTGGATTCGCCTATGGCAAGAATGTGATAGGTGGGAAGGTGTTTCTTATTAATTGACCCCATTTTAGAGTATCATTAACCCTGAAATTGCACCCTCATTAAAGCAACAAATCAGTCCCATAGAGTTAAGTTGCAACAAAGAAACAACAAATGACAATGACATCCCGATCGGCACTCCTTGCTCTCATGGCGCCTGCCAAGCGTCCTATCAAGGGCCAGACTCAAACGAAGAGGCATGTGTGTACCACCCGGGAGTACCTATATTTCACGAGGGTTTGAAATTTTGGTCCTGTTGCCAACGTAAGACAACCGATTTTAGTGCGTTTTTAAGTCAAGCGGGTTGCGTAACCGAGACTCATCTTTGGAAAAAAGAAAACGTAAGAGTGATTGTCCAGCTGAGTTGGTGATGTGCCTTTTATAAGGGTTGTTTTTCTTGGCCCAACAGGATGGGCAAGTACAGTGCCGTTGGGATTACCACCAGACGGGATCGTTCGTTATAGTGAGCATTTACGCCAAGGAGTACAGCCCCTCCAAGAGTGTTATCAAATTAAATCCAATCAGATTAAATGTCAGTCTGGTTTTTCCACGACAATCAGACTCTGTCTTTAATTTGGACTTGGAACTAAGAGGGGTAAATAGCTGTAATCAGAAAGGGCATATTTATTTAAAAAAAAATTTTTTAATGATAACAATATTATTTATTTCCAACAAAATCATATCAGACAAGAAAACGTGAACTCGACATCACTTAGAAACAATTAAAGGAAATAAATGTACAGGATAAAATGACACAAAAAAATAGCTTAAATATAAATAATTAAAAAAAAAAGACAATGTTTCACCTCCATATCACAAAAGAAAAACCTAAGTTGCCAATAAGCTAAGGAGGCTTATCCATTGTAATCAGTTTATATACATAAATAGACAACAATTATGTAATGTTCAGATCATATAGATATCCATAACAATTTTTTTACTTTCTTCAGTTTTTCTCTTCATATCTACGCATTAATACACAAAATGTAAGGATTTCTTCATTCATTATCTTGCAAATTTGCTGATGATCCTTTTTTCAAAATTTTTACTATATTCATTCATACTTGCATTGCAATTCAATGATTCACTTATTTAACTTTTGACATGTTCAGACAATATAAAATTTAATTTTAAGAAGCACTTGAGGAAGCATTACCCGACTTTTTTAAAATGTGGCACTTTTTAATATTATCTTTTAGCAGAATATTCCAAGTTGGCATTAATGCCGTGGAGAGGAAAACATAGGGTACCCCACATGTAGTAGAGTATCTTATTAGCACTAGACGAAAGCTACTTTTGAATGAATGAGGTGTTTTTAATTTGGTTGTTAGTACAATGCAGGTTTTAACTCTCAATCAAATCATGTAGTACTTAGATTTTAAAGGTTCTTATAAACTATTTCAGTAAGAGTCACCTTTATTTTTTGTCTGAACAAACGAATCATCTCTTTTTATTGTTTGCGTCCATTTTTTCCACTAGGCCAAACATTTAGATTTCGGACACTAGTTCTAACCCTAAACTATTCACAGGTTTTCACGAAAACTTATTTTTTTCATTTTAACCCTTTTTCAGTATCAAATACCTCAATTAAAATGTATCATTAAACATATAATCTACTATAATAACACCGCTTCATCATAGGAGTCCTGGCTGACATTAATAACCACAGACCGGTAAAATATATTTCATGGCACAGATCTCAAGGTAACACTTTAGTGCTCTGTGGTAATAATTAAATATAGTTTAATTAATGCTATGGTCTCTGACGTGTTCTTGAAAAATATTTGGTTTAATTTAATTCTTATTGTCGGCACTTCATTATTGCGTTTTAGGTTGTGGACGTCGCATCTAGTCAAGCCACCATGTACGGTACAAAGGTGGAGATTAAATTGAAAAAAGCGGAACCCGGCACCTGGGCAAAGCTAGAAGCGAACAAAACGGTTCCAGCCACACCGAAAACTCAGCCGGTCACTGATCAGAAGTTAACTCCTACCTTCGAAGCGTTGGATCTGAGCAGTATATAGCTTCTTCTATTTGGTTTTTTTAATTTAGTATATTTTTTTGCAATTGTGTTAATTGATTAAAAATAAAGTTTTAATACGTGTAATGTTTTATTTAAAATCAGGCGTGGGAATTTGCTTTGTTGGAACCCATAGAGTTAATACATTCCTCGACGGCTGGTATATAAGAGTTGTATAGGTATTATGGATATATAGGCGTTGAATAAGGGCTGATAAAACAGGAACTTATCAAGCAACTACAAAAATATTTTTTGCGCATGCGAGAGATTTAAAAATCTTGTTCTTAACCTAGTGCCATTTAACAACCAACATGGCCGCCGTCAGGTCCTCAATAAGTTTAGTTTAATTTCCAGACAAAAAGGAGTTATGTGTGTGGATATAGCTGTTTAGAAAAATATGAGGAAAAGAGAACAGTTTTTTTTATTTACGCTTAATTGAAGCTCATCTCAATTCGGATATGCACCCATTGTCCGGCATCCGCCGAGAAAAATTTACCGATAACACAATTCTTTTCACGCACACAGCACCCAACGCTTTCGCTGGGAATCGAACCCACAACCTCCGGCAAGTTCGAGTTGGCAGGTCAACGTCTTACCAACTGAGCCATCCTCGGTCCCGAGAGAGAACATCCATGTGTTAGAAAGAAACGCTGGTGTTTCGGCATGATTGCGCAATGGATATGTACAGGAATCGTAAACCTAATACGATTGCTCAATCTCATAACACATACGTTCGCCAAAATTATCGATCGCACGTGGTCGCTTGTAAAGGCGTATTATTGGAACAATTAAAATAATTTAGACTAGTGAGTAGTGCGTTTATGTTTGTGTTAATTGTATTTCTGTAAAAAAAAACATGGACAAAACAACGTTTTTAAGCTTTAAATACTTTAAAATTGTATGTGTGTGAGTGGCGAGAACTGAGAAAAACAGCATTTTTAACCTTCAACGAAGACTTAAAATTTTTGTATTTGTGCTGCTTATTAGCAGTGTTATTAGTTAGGATGTAAGCTCAAAATATTACACATAATAATATAGTTAAAGGTAAGAAATACATTTCTTTTACCTTTTTCAGTGGGATAAATTACATAAGAAAATAGTTAGGTATGCCTGGAATGAGATGTTCTTTAATATCTTCAAAAATAGGGATTTATAGTTTATAAGTATTTGTTGATTTTTGTATATTTAAAATGGTAGAATGCCGTAAAACACAAAGTTTTACAAGTAAATCGTTTTGTTCGCTAGTTTTATGTATTTATGTGTAACAATATTTAATTAATATATGTATTTCAAGATAATACATACAATGCAATAGTATTATTTTTACCCTACTTGAGACCCTACCCTACGCTACTTCTCAATAATTATTAAATAAGTACTACAACTATTTAATGTTGACATTAAATGAAAATAACGAATCATTATCCAAACAAAATGCTATATTAGCTATTCAAAATACTCGAAACTGGAGTCAGTTTCACATTATTTCTATGCATTTACATATTAAACGCACCAATACAGGACTTCACCTACGTCACAGCCAGCGAGAGTTTTCGCATTGCACTTGCGGACAGATTTGGCGGATTAGGTTTACGATTCTTGGGATATGTACTATCAAAAAACTTACCTGTGCATCATAATGAAGATTTTCTAGATCGAATTTAAAGTTACACAAAAAACAGCGCCTAATTGAAGGTTAGTCCACAAACATCACGGATGTAAAGCTATATAAGTCACAACAAAAATGGCCACGGCACATAATATTAAGGTTACTTTTGGTTAGTTTGGCGCATAAGTTCCAGCTGACAGCGGTGTTGCCAATAGCTACGAAAGTAATAAATAATAAAAGTTCTGCGTTGGAACTGAAAAGCAAAAAATGATCTAACTGAAAATCTTCTAGCTTTATGCATAGTTACTTAGACAGTTACTTAAAGAAGCCTGTGTAGTGTTAGTATATTTTATGTTAATGCGTTAATTCCCTATATCTAATAATTCATAAAAAATAAAGTCTAAGAGTTTTATTTTAAATTGGGCGTGAATTTGTTTGGTTTAGAACCCGTCGGCCATTTGACGGGTCTCGAAATCGTCTTGTATTTTTAAATTCATGCGTTGCCAAAAAAATATAAATCCCGGCAATGCTTTTGATGACGTAATAAAAAGGTAAATAAATGCTCCACGCCAGCAAAGTTGGAACAATAACAGAATATAGCAATACACAGAAAAGCACAGACCTACAAAAAAGTTCATTGCTTTTGCGGTACGTTGATTAAAATATTCGTTATTTTATAATCACGTTAATGCGAAATAGGCTGTAAAGGCGATTTTAAAAATGCAACAAAAACGCAAACTCGTGAAAATATTTATAAGTTTAATCTTCAATATCAAATAAAATAAGTTACGCAACAAAACAATCGATGGGAGTCACTACGTCACGCGCCTTCCATTTACACAATCTATTTTTTTTTCGATAGAGGACAAACTAATTAAGAAACGTTATTATTTACAAACCCAAAGTGTCACTTGGAGCAAATGTCACCTGTATATCATCTTTTGCAACGAATAGACGCGTATCGTAGTACTGGAATATACGCATATTACATATTCTCAAACATCTCGACGCGTCGTAACGTGTTCCCTCTACGGATATCCGCCAAAGTCTTGTATTTATCCCTCCCCTCCAATAAATTGATCCTATGGATCCTATCTAGATTAGACTCGTCGCTGGTTCTCGTTTCGTTTAGTTGATTTTGCAAATTCTAAAATCACACCGCTCATAAAACAATCCAGTCTCGTTTCCATAACAATAACTAGCTAGTAACGTTGCGTGTAAGACGTAAGCAGTAACACGTAAGACATAATCGAGAAAAAAAAAGAAGAGAGAACGAGTGATAATTAATAGTGTTGCAAGTGATTGCGAGTTTAGTTAATTAAATATAGGATAATCGATAAAACGACCTAAAAAAAATACCTTTAACTGTTCCTTCAGGGATTCGTTAACCTGTACCACCTCCGGCAACGTGGTGTTCGCGTCATCCGGCAAGGTTTCGAGCTCGTGCTCGGTTCTGTTGGCCTCCTCGATCTCGCGCTGGCGACGTTCCTCCTCCCGCCTGCGTTCTTCTTCCTCGCGTCTGCGCGCCTCCTCTTCCTGCTGCCTGCGGAACTCCTCTTCTCTGAGACGCGCCTCCTCGACCTCCTCCTGCAGTCGTCTCGTCTCTTCGTCTTTTCTTTGCACCTCTTCGTTGATTCGCCGCACCTCCTCGTGCTTCGCCCGAATCTCCTCTTCAAGCTTCTGCTTCTCCTCCTCCTCCAGGTGCTTGCTCTGCTCCAGGCGCTCCATCATTTGCTGCAGTTCGCCTCGCTGCTGTTCCAACTCTTCTTTCGACCGTTTTAGGTCGTCGAGCTGCTCCTGAAGTCTCCTGCAATTAGGATGAGGCTTATGGGAGGGGATTCGGTTAGTGAGAGAGAGAAGGACAAATAATTTTAAGAGGTCCAATGGGATTTACTTAAAGAGTCACTGAATCCAAAATTAAAACACCTTACATTTGCTCTTCTCTCTAATAATTTTCAATCACAACCTTCCAAGGACAGAGAATGCGAAACCCAACCTACGCTTGTCGCTGTTGTTCTTCATTACATTCAAAACATCACTGACGACATATCAAAAGTTCTTAAGAAGTATAACTTCAAAACCAGATTTATCATTTGTCCAAAAATCTCTCTACATCTTCGGTCCGTCAAAGATAAAATTTCATTTGAGATGGCAGTAGTTTATAGCATTGCTCGCATATGCGGCAGAGAGTACAATATGTTATATGGGAATTTGTCATCTCCATGTCCCTCCATTAGCTCCGTCCTTCTCAAAGAACATATAAATGGCTACAGAGTAGAATGCTAGCTAGTCTCATTTAAGCTCTCAAGGAGCCAACAATCACTGCGTTGTCAAATTTCCACTATAGCAATATTGCATTGCATATAACATTTGTATTACATCATTTACAGTAAAAAGATAAAAAATAAATTGGAAGTCACCACTGGAAAATAAAACATTAGTTGTGGAAGTAAATGTTATAAAATCCTAATTACTTGACACTAAATTCGATTTTTTCGGTTATCGTGTTAAGAATTTATGTTATGTTGAAACACTCCGTATACATATGACACTATATACGGTAAGATTTAAACTGTGCCACCATCTGTTGATAAATGGCGGAACTAAATCCGTTGCTAGCAACTTAGAAATCCTTTGGATAGGAATCTGTAATTTGTATATCACAGGATCTTCTTGTGAGACGGAGGACGGTGAAGCAAGATAATTACCCTACTAATTTTCTGCAATCACTGTCTACTCAGTATTGTGTGGACAATTTTCAAAGAAACACTGTATGCGAAATGTGACAACCTTTACAACCACAGCATATCATTTAAGCATTTAATGCCTACCTGATCGTTCTTTCGGCTTCCAACAGGTTAGCTTGCTTCCTCTCCATCTCTGCTCGCATCTGCTCGAGCTGCTGCTTGTACATGGTCTCCCTTCTTTCCGCTTCCTCTCTGGCTATCCGCTCGGTGTTGTATTTTTGCCTGAAATAAATCGATAGCAAACGTCCAAAGTTTCGCGGTGTTATTTATTTCATGGATATGTTGTTCTTAAGCGCACTTAACAAGAAGTTGACATTGCTGTGGTGACTGTTTGCTGTTTGTCCACGTAAATACATTTTTAGGGAACCAGATATTCAGCCTGGATTTTGTTCAGGCGTCAACCGCGAGGGGGCACTTGAGGAGGTTTTCCTTTGTGGTTTGTTAATTTTTGTGTGCTTTGCGTTCGAACTATAATGGTGGTTTCAAGTAATGAAGAAATGGAAAAATAAAACGAAAGGTAAAAAATTTAAATCAGCACATTAAATTATACTACGGGCATAACTTAAAATTATTTTGGAAATACCCATGAGATAAAATTCATTTTTTTTTACTGTATATGGTTAATTATAAATGAACATTATTTTGTTATGGCTCAAATATTTATGCCTCCAAAAGATTTACGCTTACTTTTGTATTTCTCGCTGCACTCAAAAATGTTAATAAATTTAAGTATATAAGTACCATTTATATTTGTTCAGTGACTTAAAAATCCGTGAACACATAAAATAGTTGAGTAAAGTATGCACTTTTTGCAGGAGGTAAATTAAAGTTAAATTTCAAAATTTGCCAGAGATATATATCATGATGGCAGCACCATAATTGAAAACAAAAAAGATTCCTTTACCGGCTTTGGCATACCATCCGTTTGTCGACAACATGCAGCAGCTTGTCAGTTTCTCATATACTCTGGGTGCTACGTATGGACAGATTTTGTTTAATTCGAAATATACCCTTACAAATACAAAAAACACCAAAAACGAGTCTATCCATTAATGTTCTACCGACCTAATAACGAGTTTATTTTTTCTCATCTCGTTGGCTTTCTCCTTCATTTTCGCCACCTCCGGAGTGTCCGGTTTCCTCCTCCTCACGTACAGCTCGTGGTTGCCTACGCCGAGTTGGAGGATGTGCTTGCTGATTTTCTCGCCCGACGTGAATATTACGAAGTCCTTCGCGTTCTTGTCGCTCGGCTTGATCACGAACTTGATACCCTTGTACTTGAGGTTTTTAATTTCCGACCAGGGAAACGAAACGGTAGGGTTCAGCCTGTCCTCGGGCTTGTAAATGTTCAGACCCAACGCTGTGACGCCTAACAGCACGTCGGTACCCTTTTTGTTTTTGATAGGAAAATACGACACCCCGTACATTTCCAGGTTTTGGGCCAGTTTCAGATACTCCAGCATCGTGTCTTCCTTGTCCATGCCGCGGTGTTTTTCCCACATACTGACGATGTTCTTTTCCCATTCGCCGGCCTCTAGCTTGTGCTGTTTTATCACCCTGAAATAGAACTTAATTCAAATGTGCCACCTACTAAACAGCATTCTGAGTAAGTTATGATGACGGACGGAGGTCGTCGATGGGCGAGTGTCCCTAGTCAGATTGACGAACGTTATGTAAATTAAAAAGAAGAAGAACATCGATGGCATTTCGTTGGTGTCTGTTCTATTTGCCAAAGATTTTAATTTTTATATTTATTTTAAATATTCAAACTACCCATGGTCTAATGGTCTTGCAGAAAAGGGGGTATGTATTTGGAAAGATATCCTAAAAAAGTCGATGGAAAATACTTAATATTTAATGCAGTATCGGAACTAACCTTGAACAAAATTAGGTTATAGTCCTTCTCAGTTGTTAGTGAGTAGAATTTGCTAAACAAAAGTGCCAATCGAAAGTGAATTATTAAAAAGTTATATGTGCGTTAGAAATTAAGCAAAGTTTGTATAAAACTAATTATGACAAATGTGCTAAAGCACTTGAATCCTTGAAAAATGATTGTGATGTAGATCATATATTGTGAAAGATGTAAGTGAAAATTTAATCACTCGTAATAGAATCCATCTAAAGCATTGTTTCAATCAGTCAATCAGAAAATTGCGCTGAAAACAGGGAAATCTAAACCACAGTTCATGTAGTAATGTTTTCAAGTTCAATATGTAAAAATAACAACCTACTTGACAAACTTAATCAAAAGTAAAAATAGTTGTAATGCTATTTGTACTCTGAGTGTACTTTCCAAGCGATATTCTGTGGTCAAGAGTTACCACTGAATACACGTAGGCAGGTCATTGTTTTTTTATGATGCTGGGTGCAGCTAAGTGGCCATGAGGAGTGTTATTTTAAGTTAATACTCTTTATGAACTAAGACGTTGACTTTTATTTAGGACTTGAAAAGTCCTGAATATTAGAGTATTGTGCATACAATTGCGATGTAGTGTTTCTTATCATTAAGAGTGGGGTGGTGGTGTAAGTTATTAATAAGGTCATTTGTAACTGGAAAGTCAGTAAGCATTACAAAAAATCCTCCAAAGTGCTTCTTAATTTCATTAATTCTACTGCTATTTAACAACCATTACTTTTCTTTTGTAAGATTACCAGTCAAATTAAAAAAATGACGAGAAAAAAAGAGGTAGAGTTATAAATTGGCGGGTGGCTTAGAAGGGCACCAGCTTTTAAGAAGAGGCCGGGATAAAATCAAAAAGATAACAAAAATTTTGCATAGCAAATACAGTGTTTTTTTTGGACCTATGTACTTATGTGTGTATATTTTACGTAAAGTGTGTACTTAACAAATATGTGTATTCTATTCGAACATTTATGTATTAGGTATCAGTAAACTCCTTAATTCTTAAGTTCAATCCTAGCTTATAAAAATAGAGCATTAATACGAGCGTGCATAGATTAAGATGATGGTGCAGAAGTACAGTTTAATTTTATTTTTTTTAGTAATACTTGCTGCGCCATTTACTTTCGAAAGGGCGAATCATCACCGAATAAAGTTAAAATGAAGTCTCTAAAAACCGCTAGAGAGAATTGTAATAAGCTCATAGGCATGCCTGGGACGTTTATTTGGAATATCAACTACACTAACCGAACGAATGCTGTCCGATCTAGAATTAGTTGGAAAATTTCGTAGATGGATGTGATAAAGAAAAATTTGTCAAAAATTTTCTTTTGTAATTTTGATAGTTTAGACAAATGGTTAACTAATACCGAAAAGTGACGTGGAACCCTTTGCAGGGTTAATCGTTATTTGGGTATATTAATTAACGGTTTCCTTTAAAACCTTATGCTTGGCTTTATTACAAAGTTAGATATATCCTTAAGTATCCGATTTAGCTTAACGCCCTAGCTAACCAAATCCACACTTACCGTTCAGGGAGAAGGGTTTGTTTTTTGACAGCGTCCTCGTTGATCTCATCCTTGTTGTAGTCTCCGTATTTCGCTTGGAGGGAGTACGACGCGAGGAGGACGCAAGTGTCCGCAGGACAGTAGATTTCATCTTTGAGGATGGCGGATTTGACTTGCAGGAAAAAATATTCGATGGTGATGTTTTCGATCAGCTCCTCCGCCACTTCTTCCGGGTAGTACTTGACTCGGAAGTGAAAGTTCGCGAGCACTTTTTGGAGGTCTTTGAGCGTCTGAAAAGGTCAAAATCAATTTCATGCATAAAGGGGTCTTTGTTCATTCCGAAGTCCCTCAAGGCTCGCTACTTAGCCCATTGCTGTTTCGCTGTTTCATTAATGATGTGTTTAACATTCTTGGTGAGTCTGACGCATTGAATGATCTACTTTATGCTGATGATAGCCAGTTATACTGTGAGATCAATGAAATTACTATGGCAGCGCCAAAATTTCCCGGACTGAATATGAAAGAAACAAAGTAGAGTAACATTTTTTAATTATTTTTCAATATAATCCCCCTTAACTTCAATACACTTATTGTATCTTTTTATTAACAACTGAATCCCTTAAAAAAATATTCTTTTGATTTGTCTGCAAAATGAGCAAAAAAAGCCTCTTTCAACTCAACTTCGTCGTTAAACCGCCGTCCCCGTAAGTCCTCTTTCAAATATCCAAACAAATAATAGTCACTGAGGGCCATATCTGGACTATAGGGAGTATGATCTATCTGTTGGAACCCACACTCTAAAATGGCAGCTTGTGCAACACCAGCAGTATGGACGGGTCCATTAACGTGCAAAAGACGCAGTCTCGCAATTTATGTAATAATGTTGCGTAATATTTACTATTGATAGTGGTATTAGTTTCTTTAAAATCTGTCAAAAGAATTCCTTCACAATCCCAAAAGGTCGTGGCCATCACCTTTTTTGTTGACTAGCGGAATTTTCTTGGAGGTACTTCACCCTTACGACGCCACTCCATTGGTTCTTTTTTCGATAGAGAGATAGTTTCTATCACCGTCTTCGGTTCCGACCCACAGAGTTTCAAAAAAGACCGCTCACACTCGACACGGCGCTGTTTTTGAATAGCCGAAAGATTTTTAGGAACCCATCTTGCCTTAACCTTATGAATACCTAAGTAATCATGCAGGATTCGACGAACACTTGTATCAGAAAGCTTAGTAATATCCTAGATTTCCTTGACCTTTAAACGTCAATCACTCAATACCACCTCATCCACAATCGCAACAATATCTTCCGTTATGACCTCCACTGGTCGACCAGTTTTTGAATCATCTTCAACGCACTCCTGCCCTATTCGAAAACGTTTTGCCCATTCTTTCACTACAGAATACGAAGGAGAACTTTGGCCATACACACCATCCAGCCTTTCTTTAATAATTACACGTCTTGTTTAAAATGCTGTCAATAAAAAGCTATTTGACGCAAGACTTCAATTTTTTTTTTCACAGCAAAGAAGACTAAGTTTGATAGTGGTACTGGAGCTGCATCTATGTCAGGCCGGGAAAGGTTGTCTCCTTCATTCTTAAGCGTTATTTTATGGAATTTGTTTCGACATCGACAAAGTTATCAATTCCGCGCAAAGCTTAAAAACCTTATAGTATGCTTGAAAGATTAAATTACATGATTAAACCATATGTAGTAAGCCCAGAAAATAGGTTTTTCCACTAAGTGCTTTTAGAAGAATTTTCAGTGTTGTAGTGAGACATCATAGCCTTTTGAAACTTGAAATCTTTGAGATATGGTCGTTCCCATCTTAATTCTAGATATCCTTTGATTGTAGAGTTGTTTAATTACGGTTGTAGCTGTGATTTTTGTAGTACTTGTTGAAGCGTTTGAATAGGAACTGTTAGACCGACATATACAGAGTCTTACTAAGTTTGTGAACCAGCATTTCTATAAGAAAAGAAGCACATTCAAGAGCGGCATGAAAAATTCGTGTTGAAACACTGCATAAAACTGTAGCTACAAAGTTGCATTAAGCTTGGAGTTTTATACTACCCATTATAAAATCATCAACTAATAAAAATTCCATACATCCTCTGCTTTATCGCGATTTTTTGGACGTAATACTCCGATGAAACGTATCCTATCTACGGAGGATTATAAACGAATTTAATTAAATTCCATTTTCAATTGGAACGTAATGCTTTAAGCTTAGATTACAAAAACGAGTTTGGTTTTGCGACGCCGATGGAAAAGTAAACTGCACACACGAACTGTTTAACTTGGTGCGTGTCTCTCGAGAAGTGATAATGGCGTATTTGCAGTGATAATATAAGATAATAAGCGCCTACTAGGTCACATCTTTGCCTAACCTAAATATTCTTTTAATAATAGAAAAATGATCACTTATTTCCTGCCTCATGTAATACAACCGGTCGGTTCAATTTTCAACTGTAATGCCCGTATCCACCAATGAACGCCCTATCCATGGTTAACGAGCTCGTGCTATATATGGTGTAGTAGTAAATCTAAGAAAGAGGCATTTTTATGTAAATACTTCTCACGAAAAATGTCAAAAGTGTAATTTTTCACAGACCAGGTTAGAAACTGAGGTGTCACTTGTTTGCTGTTGTTATTGCGAAAAAAAATAATTTTAATGAAAAGTATAAAGCAGTTAGTTCCTCTTGACCTGAAAAAGTACATATTTTTCCATACAAGCAAATTGTGAAGAACATATTATTAATTTAGGCATTATGTTGTTCTTCTTTGTAAGGTGATAATTTAAAATATAAAAATTGCAGGTTATGAGTGAGGAAGAAATCCAAATTATTCTGTTGGGTAAAGGATGATTTTTATTTTTTAATAATAACCTAAAGATGAGTAAAAAGAACAGCCAAATTTCTTCATTCTGTTCTCCATTTTTTACCGCTTCCTGGCCTTTCCCATTGTGTCCTATAAAATTCATCGTGGACTACATCCAAGATATATTAGTCATCATTCAACATCTCATCTTCCATTATGTCCATTTCTGTTGTCTCTGCATTTCTAAAGCAAACCGGCACCATCACAACTCAACCTCACTTTTTAAGCTTAGAATTGATAACTGACCAAAATTCGCCATTTTACCAATCTACTCGTTTATAGATGGAAGAATAATAGATAGTTAAACTATTGGCAGTGTTGCCAATAGTTTAACTCTGATGGCTTTTTACTTATTTGCATATAAAAAATTCAAAGTATTTTTTATGATTTTTTTAATTAATACTTACAAAAATGGAAAGGTACGGGAAACAATAAAACACCTATATTTCACAATAATAATTTTGGAGATTGTAATAAAGAATTCTTCGCCATAACCTCAACAATAATTTTACAATACTCTCAAATTTAATGATGCTATTTTCTTTTAAGTAAGTAAATTTTTAATGAATCTGGTACAAAATCTTTTTAAACAAATTTCCGATAATTATTGATCCTTACCCAACCAGTCAAACCTAATATATCAAAAACAATAGGACATAAACGTTTTCCTTATTTCTCTGCAACAGTTTCGCAAAAAAATATTGATTGATCGTTATTCAAGCTGAAACTAGAGATGAAATCTATAGCATTATAGATGTGAAGAGAGATATGAAGACAGAAGAAGATAGATAGAAGATAGAAGAAGATGGATAGATATGAAGATAGAAGTATTGATTGATGTTTGTAAGTCTTTTCTAGTTTTTATATTTAGTTTTATTATTAGGTTGAAATCAGTTTTGGTTAGTTTAGTTAGGAAGTAATAATAACAATACTTAAGAGTTATTATTTATTTATTAGGGACAAAATTGGTAACCATCAATATATTTTCTTTACTTGAGGTTTTGTACTACAGCATTGTCTTTAATTTTTCAAAGACACTTCACTGTAATACTATTTACAAATATTCTGAATTCCCCCAGTTTCTGGTAAGCCCTGAAGAAGCCAACAGGATCGTTGGTAATTTCTGATTTTTTCATTGGTTCTTTTGAATTACCTGCCAACCTAGAAAATGACTGACCCCTCATATCTGCTCGCAATTTGAAAGAGCAAAAACACATCGGATATTTTCCTCGGATATCGGCGTTTCAATTCGACATTTCCGGTCTGATATTCCCCCCCCCCCCACCTCATTGAATATGTGCATGGTAATGCCGTGGGGTTTCCTAAACGTTTGCGCCAAGCAAATACGGCCTAAAAGGAGCGACAGTTCGTATTCGAGTTGCACGGGAAAGTCAGAAATATCGAATAAAAAAAATCCTATGGGGTCCGGGTTCAATTTCAGAAACGATCTCGCATGTTGCGAACGAACGCCGCTGATGGAAATAAAAATGAGTATGGTAGATTAAAAAAATTAAAGTGCCCAGGTTGCCAAGTTTCATTAAAATATATATGTAAAGTGGCATTGCAGATATCACAGGAAAGAGCTTATATTTTGTTTATGTTACCCTGATAACATTTACAAACATATCAATGTATATGGCATGTAAAACAATTCTTATTTAAGTTTGTTTTATTTATTTAAGTTTATGTACTTCGTATCATTCTTCGATTTTTGGAAGCATTTAAAAAAAAAGAGATGGACGATTACAAATAACAATGTGTTAATTTCCATAGCTTCCAACAAATTTGTTTTATTTTTATTAAACTTGTGCATTTAGAAATTTAAATGAATAAAATCCGAACTTTTATTTTTATGCTCGTTAGTACGCTCTAAGATGTTCTACCTGGTTGTATGATATAAATTTTACTCCGGATTATTAAGTTTTTTGTAATTTTATTTTATTCTTTTTTAAAGAATTTAATTATTCTTTTTTAAAGAATTTAATTTATTACATCTTAGATTCCGAACTGATATTTCAAACAGCTAACAGTTAATTTAATAAAAATGTTAAGTTCCAACTAACTAAAAATAACAAAATAACATAGTAGATAAAGAATCGATAGTCATTGCCATCGATTCTCTAGATTATATTAAAAAAACCAAACAGTTCCTTAATATCAGACATATACCAAAGCATACAATACGATACTACCAAGACAGAGAAAAATACCAACTAATAATTGTGATTAATCACCTCCAAAATTATATTCTTTAATTAAATTACACCAACAGGATATGCCATTAAGTTCTGTAGTTTCTTTTGTAAGATTAATACAAATTTTAGAATAGCATATTGCCTGGGTATGTTATCAAAAATTTGTCCGAACTAGTCAACAAGATTAAAGACATTAAAATTCTTCCTAAGGCAATTTTAGTTACGTTTGAAGTCGAAAATATAGTTCCTAGCATTCCACCGATTGAAGTAATAAACATAATTGAGTCTCAGTCAGAGACAAGGCAATCCTATCATGAAAAAAGACTTGTTGGATAATTTAATAGTTTGTTTAGACTAAAATAAATTATTTTGAATTTAATGGTCAATCTTATATTGTTAAAGAAGAATTATTTATGGGAAACCTATTTAGTCCACGACTTGCAGAAATTTCCATGGACAATTTAGAAACCATCTTAAATGAACATCCTCCGAGTAAAAGTTTTCTTTGCTGTTATAGATAGATGATGTTTTTTACTTGTGTCGCTAGAATTATATTAACTCCACACATAATCGTATCAAATTTACCATAAAGACGAAACCAAATAACTCTTTAAAATGAGACGAGAATCTATTATTTAATGGCCAATTGGATTTAAATTTTAATTAAATAAATTTAAATCTATAACCCTACAACTGTAATTAAGAATCTATTATTATATGTTTATATACACAGATGTCGGAATATTGTCATATTTTGTATTTCATAGAGAAAAGTAAAAGGGTTATAGCATAGTATATGAGAGTTGATCTTCCATGTAGATATTTGTAAGACCTGCAAAGAAATTTGAAGAAACCGGTAACGTGTTAATTATCAACAACAAACTTTCTTCTTCGTTTTTCCACAGCCTGCCAAATATTAATCCTCCTCCATTTATTTGAAAGTCGAAATATTTTTGATGATGTGAGAAACAATGCTGCGATGAAGAATCTAATTCCTATGGCAAAGGAAGATGCAGTTTTGTTTGAAATTTTTAAATAGATATAAAGAAAAAAAAAATACTACAAGAAAAAGCAGCATAGACAATATACGTGATACATTTGGTGTGATGTTATGTTATGAAACACTTCACATATATTTCCCCAATATTAAAAATAACACTTCCATTTGTAAGTTGTAATAAAAAAAATCGCCTGTTTTTGTCCTATTTTTGGCAATATAAGGGAAAAACTAAAATAACGTCTTCTATTGAACAATCGATAAAATATACAGGTGAATTTTTTTTTAAACATCGTGTATACTAATGGAGAGAAAGACAGTATTATATGTTGATGGTTTATCTAAAGGAATCAAATTGACAAAAACCACCTCCACGAAGTCCAGTATTATAAAGCTCTTGAGCCTATAAGAAGGTCTCCACCTAGCCTAAAATTGATATTGCACGATCCCTATTACAAAATAAACGATGACACAATAAACTGCCATAAATATTCGTCGACGTTTATAAATTGTTTTAATCAGAGATTAAATTAAATATCTTATCGAGGTTAATTAAAGAAACGTTTAAACCGGCCTTCGGAGCACTGTAAGTAAATCGAAAGGTTTCAAAGTACGAGGCAATTTATCTTGCATTTCAGCGCAAGGTGGCGCAAAGGTCAGTACCGATCAAAAAATCCAAGATTTCTCCGAAAGTTCCCAAATTAAGTTAAAATTTTAATTATAACCTTTAAATAAGTTTTAATTGAGGCTCATAAATGAGAGTGGGGGATTGATTAATCACTTAAGTAACTGTATCTTCTAAAATACTTATCCGATTTCAACAAACTCGAGCTTGTTTGAGAGAGCAATGTTAGCGTTGACACTCGATAGTTCTAAATAAGATTGGTAGAGGGCGCAAACCGCAACGTCGATCGATTTTCGAAAGATTAAACTTGCAAACTTATATGTTAATGACGACATTTGGTTCATAAAGTCCTTTATTATTCAATAAAAATATTTGAAAAGATTTGGTTAAATATGTTATTAAACTAGACATTTCTTAAACTAAGTCGTATACCAAACCAAAGAATATTAAACACAGGTAGGTATAAAATTATTTTCTATTAGGGACCACAATTTTACCTCAATTTAAATCTCGAAACTTCAGGTAATAATCTTGTTGCATTGTATGTTAATGACCACCCTTGGATAATCCCATTCAAAAGCAATTGGTCACTTTCTTATATCTATGAACAGACCATACCTTTATCATAAGACTTTGACTGAGGAGTTTGGTGTTTGCACACTTGAAAAATGAAGGAAAATTGCTGAATTCATATTTTTGTATACACTGTATAAATAATAATATTCCTTTTGAACTTTCTAGAGCTTACACTAATCTAAGACAACATAATATATGACACAGAATGTCTAACTTAATGAATAATGAACTGCGTGATGTGGACATTTTTCAGATTGTTTTCTGCAACATTGGAAGTACAATTTTAAACAAACTCTAATATCGCTGCTCATCTTTCTTTTTTCTTTACTGTTGTTTACCAGTTTACTGTTATACCATAAATTATAGTCTAATTAACTATTAAAAGGTGGCATGTTAATTGAATTGAGGTGGCTTTTACTTGATGAAAATCCATTTATCAAAATAAATAACAAGTAAACGTTCAGATTTTCAGGATATTTTGACATGATAATTGATATTTTGACATGACAATTGTTTCGACAATACCTTGTCTTTATCAAATATAATATTTACAAACTACCTGTTACTATATATACCGAAAAATGACCATAAAACCTTAATTAATGTTGTTGTGAGAACTTAAGTTCAATAAGGCGGAGGTATTTAAATCTAATTGATCGTTAAGCAATACATTTGAATGTCTCAATTTGTTAATCTCCAGGGCTTCCAATAAATTTAATTTTTTACTTTGCTTATCTTGTCCTAAAATTTATATTCAACAGGTAGATACTTCAAGAAACGCATTAACGAACATAAAAGAGCGTTTAAAAACAATAGTCTAGATTCTAATTATGCTACACACTTAAACACAGAAAAACACATTTTTGACCACAATTTTGATATTTTACATACAGCCATGGAGATTAACAAAATGAAACATTCAAATGTATTGGTTAACGATCAATTAGATTTAAATATCTCTCCTTTATTGAACTTAAAATCTCACAACATTAATTAAAGTTTTATGGTCATTTTTCGGTATATATAGTAGCAGGTAGTTTGTAGATATTACATTTGATAAAGACACGGTGTTGTCGAAACAATTGTCATGTCAAAATATATAATTTCGTGAAAATCTGAACTTCTTTCTCTTTTATTTGTTTGCTAACTGTTGATTGATTGTAATCTGTTGCCTGTTGATTACTTAACTTTAATAAATAAATAAACTTCTTCATTACGCAACGGGGCACGTGACTTTATCGCCTCGTATTTGCGAAAGCACTATACCTTTTTCGACTTGTCGATCCAGATCTCCTCGTTGTCGGCTCCCCTGTACATCAGGCCGAAATACCAGCTCTCCTGTATACCGAGCGACCTGCACATGGTCTGGAATACCTCCCGGCCGGTGGTCTTGGGCACGGCCTCCAGTTCCGACTCGTGGTGAGGCGTTCGTACGATAACTTTCATGGCGTGCGAGTTCTCGACGATCTGCCACAAAAAGAGACACCCTATTTCGCTTTTTTCCTTCGGAGCGACGCGCTATTTCCCGGAACATATTCCGGGTGTTCCGGGAACCACCATACTAACCCGTGGAAATTCACTCGGGAGGCAGTCGACACAATCCGGCCAGCGCGACACTAAAAGATGTCCTCCACGCAAGCCCGGGTTTCTTTATCGAATTGGCCCGAACCCGATAAGATAACGGACGATTCACGGGTACACGCAGGTGAATAACGAAACCTACAGGGTGGACGCGACAGACGGGCGCGTTTTTCCGCGACCCATCTTGGTACCGGATCGCGACGAAAGCGACTCGACTATGTAAAGATTGCAAATAAATGCGTTTGTTGCTAAACGTGCGGAGTGTTTTTGTTTTACCTTGACATCGATTGTCGCGATAAATGTAGCGGAACCAGCGGCGCAGAACGCGGGATTTGCGAAACTATTAGACGGTGCGGAATCGAGAAATCGCGAAAGAAACGGCCCAGGATGGGACCGTTTTCGTGATTGCTGGCGATACGTTGGTTATTGCGCTTCGAATGCTATCTAAATCCTCCTTTAAAAAATTTTATGATAAATATAATATTCTAAACGTTTTGAATTTATCCCCGTTGGCCGATTTTTTCTATCACGTCCAGATATTTTTTATATTTCAAAATTTTGTTTTTTTTTTCCATTTTTTCATTCGTCAACGTTACAAAAAGTAAATATACATACAAAATGAGTTTCAGAGAGTTGTAAGAGAAAGGAGTGAAGTGCCGAAGGCGATTTTTATGACACTACAACAGTTCAGTGAAAACCTGTCGTTTAATTGTTTACTTTTTATATCAAATATTTTGGTAAGTTTTGCATAAAGTTCGTGTTCTCTACATTGGATTTAAGTATTTGATGTGTAGTTTGAGTATTTTTTTTAAGTAGAGCCAATAAATATAAAATAGAAGTTTGAAAGTTGTTTTGAAATTAATTTTATGTGATTTTAGGTCACAAAATGCCACGGACTTGTAAAAATTCCTCAGATTGTTTTTGCTACATTTGTGGGGAATACATACTAAAAACGCAGCGGAATCTCATGACCGATCTAGTAAAAACATATATATATATATATATATATATATATATATATATATATATATATATATATATATATATATATATATATATATATATATATATATATATATATATATATATATATATATATATATATATATATATATATATTGGATTTTCTATCGATGAGCGAGATAAAAGTTGGTTGCCAAAAGTATGCTGCAATAGCTGCTCAAGGTTGGCTTGAATCCATGCCGTTTTCAATGCCAATGATTTGAAGTGAGCCTCAAAATCATGAGAATGATTGTTATTTCTGCATGACATCTATACGAGAATTCTCGAAAAAAAATAGAGATAAGATTTCTATCCGAACGTCCTATCTGCAAAGAGACCAATTCCTCGCGATAAAGACACTCCACCTCCAGTTCCACCGGTTAATGAGGAGGCTGAAAATAAAAATATTTCAGGTCTACAATCTCAATCGAGTGTTGTTAATATAATTTAGGATTTTTTACTGTAAAACTCAAGCCGCCACATTTTTTTCCTTATAATAATTTATACTTTAATAATTTTTTTTTGATGAAATAAATATTAAATTAAAAACCTATGTGTGGTACTTATTTGTATATCAGATTACGTGTTTAGAGCATAAAATAAGAAGGATTCATGCATGATAACAAGAAGCAGAGAAAAATTTTTTTTTGCAGACCAGTGTAAATGCGATTTTTGGGGCCATTTTAAAAAGAGAGCTTCATATTTAGTTTTTAGTTTAGTTTAGGTTAGTTACTCCAGTATCACGATAAAAGTTTGACTTCTTTTATATATGTATCTTAGTAGGCTGCAAAAAAAATGGAACTCTTGCGTCGAATGGTTTTTTATTGACAGCATTTTAAACAAGATTGCTTTCGAAAAATGGTCGGTGAGCGGGGCAAGTTCGTCGCAAATAGCGCGAATCAGCTTTTTATTTTAAAAAGAAGGCGCTTCGCGGATTCTTGTCATACAGGGACGCAATGTTTTTCTATGGTGCTCCTGCGGACCACCATGGAACTTTCGCAAAATCGATGTAATTTGATTGTGAATACACTCTGTATAAAATGTCCTTCACATCTCGTCGAACTTCAAATTTACGGTATACTTCGGTAAATATCAAAATTTGTACTGGTAATTGCAATATAAAATTATATCTTGCTTCTCCTGTATCTTAGACGAAATCTCAAACTCTCTCTCAACACAGTTTACGATTCCGTTCATATCAAATTATCACATATTTAAAAGTTTTTCATATGCTGACAATAATTCACCCACAAAAGCTGAAATTTCTAGAATCTATTGGAATTTTTTGCCCACAAACGACGTACCGTGTATTTAATTCCAACAAAAGTTCGAAATAGAGGATATAGCTCTGGATCTCCTTAGTTTCCTCCTATCGGAATTTTTCCAATGGAGTAAATGGTTTTCAAAAAACTACTTAAAAACCGTAAATACAAAAGTTTAAGCTGTCTATATGTCTATATAGGCTATATCGTCATGTAAAAGAAATCGCCAATTTGCCAATTTTCAATAATAAGGGGATCCATTTTTCAGTTTTTTGAATTTGCGGGTCACCCTGTATAATCTTGAAAAATTGTCACGCATAAAAGTTTATAGAGCCGTATCTTTTGCTTCTTCTGGTTCAAGAATTTTTTTGGTCTCGTAAACAGTTTTTGAAAAATGATGTTTTTTGTAGCCCCCCCCCCCCCCCCCATTTTCAATAGGCTCCGTCATGGGGCAAAGTGTTTCATTGCAAGGTCCAAAAAAGGCAGCAAACTGAAACTGAAACTGTGCTGAAGTATGCTTGGGAACGGTAAACAGCCCCCTATGGCGAGTATTAACCGAATGAATAGCTGATCCACGAGAAAGTTTGTCAAAAAGATACGTCGGGCGTTGTAGAGATATACGTTTTTTAATTAAGACTAAAAGCTGCGATTTAAAACTTTCGTCTACTGTTAGCCAGCGAGAATCCTATAGGCTAGTAGATATGTCATCAAATTTACGAATGTTGTATGAGAATCTAAGACAGCCATTCAGAAGACGCTGAAGACTGACCTTGTTCTTTTGAACTAGGGCAGGTCAGTAAACTACCGTACCATATGAAATTGAGGAGATAATTAAAGAATTGCTAAGTTTGAACTTACTTGCTGTGTCCGCATATCTTTATTACATTAGAGAATCCGAAGCTTGTAAAACGATTTCTGGATCAATGAAGCTACATGACCTTCAAAACGCAGATTATTATCCAAAAACTACTTAATATTTTCCACAGAATAAGCACAGGTGGAATCTGGGGTTTGTCTGCTCCAATGGCCCCCATATCATCATCTTCAGATGAATTTAGCTTTTAAAGTTAGACATCCTGATTCTGAAGAGGAATCTGGAATGGTCGCTTTTTTTCTTTGAGGATCCTGAAGTTGTCGAAGTCTTAAATGTGGATTGTAAGTGCTGCCTTTGGAATGGTAAACTATTTGTGGGTCCAATAAATTATTTTCAACTGCTTCCTCTTCTTTAACAGTTTTTCTACAAGAAGAAAATCCGATGTCTGTAAATACATGACAATTTGGGCTTTCAAGGGTCCCAATAAGGGTTCATCTAAGTTTTACCTACACTGAATGTGTCTGATGATTTGGGTTTGCCTGCTTGCACCTATAAACCTTATTAAATGCAATCTTCAGAATCTGCAGTCATGGCACGGATACTGCAAGGGTCTGTCCTGAGCCCCCTTATTTTTAACATTTTTATAAATTGTATAGGCGGTTTCTGCGTAATCAAATATTCAAATACTGAATATCGCGACGTGCATTTTTGCTACCGAAGAGCAAATGGAAATGCAGATCAAGTACGACGGCAGAAGACTTTGTGAAAGAGGATTATTCAAACCTGATACTACGAATAAAGGGAGACCAAGCAAGAGAGTCGCTGCAAGAGAAGAAAGAATACTTCAAAATGTGGAGGCTGAGCCGACAACGAGTATGAGAAAACTTGGTGCCCAGGAAAGAATTGCTTGTTCTACGGTTTGGGAAGTTTTGCAAGGAAAATGATTTTCGGTCCCTTCATGTTCAAGCATGTTCAAGCACTGTATGAGGGTGATGAGCAATTGAGAGTAATTTTATGTAATCAAATTTTATGAAAAATGCAAAATTACCCGCAATTTTTAAATGTCATTTCATCAAAATTGAAGGAAAACTTCAGCGCCGGTTTCCTTAAAAAACTACCACCTTTGGTGGAAGAGGTACCCTTGCACTGGAGACAAAACATGTGGTTAATGCAAGATGACGCTGCGTCCCATTTTACATTGGTTGTATGAAGGTATTTAAATCAGGCATTTGAACATCGATGGATAGGTCAGGGCGGACTCTAGCTTGGCCGCCTCGCTCACCAGACCTCAATCCGATGGACTTTTTTTTTTTGGGGGTACTTTAGCGTCTTTAGTGTATGAAACATCTGTAACATATATCAATGATCTACGACAAAAAATAATACATGGTTGCGAAATCATTAGCAATAGGTTAAGCGTATTATTTCGTGCTCGACAGCATTTTTTAAAAATGTATAAGAAAATATTTAGAAATGAACGGTGGGCATTTTGAAAATGAAATGTAAATAGTGTTGAATTCTGTGACCCAAACTAACCAAAATAAGCGATAAAAGTTCACGTAAACTAGAGTGCAAAACGTCTTAGTTTTTAACATACAGGGTGTTAAATTTGATAAGGTGATGGAGATTTTTTGTAAATATTTTCGAAACACGTAAATATTTTTGAATAAAATTTGCTACAGTTACTAAACGTTTTATACTCTATTTAACGAACTAAACCTTGGTATTGGATTGTCTCCAGGGATGGGTAACACAGGGGAGGCGTGGGAAAAATTTGCCTAACATTTTTTGTCCGTCGAATTTTCGTAATTTGGACTGCAGAATTTGAAAATCTGAACAAAAATGCTTTTGAAAATTTAATTACAAATTATGTTTTTTATTATAATGTTTACAATAGAGGTGCAAGCCTTGAAAGTCGATGGCGCGTTTCATTTGATTTGTGTTGCTAGGTAAATAAAAATTAAATGTAAGGTAAATAAAATTAAATATTCGACAGTTTTCGATTTTGTTCATTGTTCGTTAAAAATAGTTTTTACTTGGATTGTTCTTATAAGCCCCATTATTAAGACAAATCCAACTATCAACTGTAAAGCTAATTATTCTAATAAAAATTATAAACTTTACATTTTAATGAAGGTTGAATGTTGATGAAAAATAAGCTATTTAATTTGATGGAGTTGCTTTCAAATAGAGAATTAGCGGATATTCAGTTTGTATACTTGCTACAAGCGATAGCATAGAATCTTCAGTTTTGCTCCTTACCATCTTGTCTCAAGTCAGTAGTGTCTCCGACATAATAATACTACAGTTAGATACATACAGTTATATAAATAAGTGAGAGGTTATCGCAAGCGAGCGATCTGTGCCTCGGTTTTTTAACTACGCCACTGAATTTTCGCAGGAAATTCCTAGCATATTATCTGTAAAATGCATATTAGCTAAGGCAAGTTTTATTGCCGTTCGTATAAAACTTTTCGGTGGCTCGGAATGTTATACGTGTAAAATACAATGATTGCTAATCTACAAAAATGGCAATCTGACTCGTACAAAAACCATTAAGTGGTAAAGTCCAGTCAGAGCATTTGTGTAGTTACGTCATAGCATGACATCAGTTTTGAAATCCGCATCAAGATCAAAATTTCTAAATTTAGCGAATAATTAAACATTTTACAACTGATTATTTCAAACGAGTAGAAAATGCGCAGAAACCGCTTTTACACTGTGTACGTATTTGCTGTCTCCATACTAGACACCATCTAATTTTTATGAACTAGCAATTAGGTTTCTAAATATTATTTATTAATTACGGTAAAGTTCGCCCACCGATATACCGTTTTTACAAACTTTTATGGTTTTGACTTCGGAATGACTTTAAGACCCGCCTGTGGCAAAGTGGAAGGGACCACTCTTTTTAGTACGTGTGCCACAAGCCAGGGCCGTATTTAAGATGTGAGCCGACAAGAATTGTGTTGTATTTGAAGAGTGTGGAAATTTTCTTTGATTAAACAGTTATATTAATTCGTATTGAGTCCCTACTGCATTTGCCCATCAGATAGGCACATCTCCTATATTAAAAACATATTAAAAAGTTTAAACTCATTTCCATTTTAAAGGTTTAAAACATGATGACCATAAAATATGGCGGAACTTCTAGAATTGCTAAAACATCGGGACCGATTATACAAGGGAGTGTGTGTGAATAGGGAAGATACTGAGTCGTGTAGTGAATTTAAAGCAGTCAAAAATAAAGAAATGAAATGAAGTGTGAACAGTTCAGATGCTATTGCTAACGAGTTGAATAATAATTTCTCGAATGTAGGTATGGTCTGTTCATAGATATAAGAAAGTGACCAATTGCTTTTGAATGGTATTATCCAAGGGTGATCATTAACATACAATGTACCTGTGTTTAATATTCTTTGATTTGGTATACTATTTAGTTTAAGTTTATTAGTAATCATTCTTATTGCGTGTGTAATACAGCGTGTGTTGAATCGTGTGCGAATTATGCAAAATATGTGCGAGTCTAGTGTATCTCAGGAGATGCTCCCTTCCAAATGTAGAAAACACTATTCTATTGAGACTAAAGAAGTTTAACGTGCTTCCAGCAAGCAAGCATCTTTAGAAGAAACGGGCACATTGACGAAAATTCCAACAACTGTATGGAAAATTGTGAATAATCCCATTTCAGCGAGGAAAAAAAGAAGCGATGCTGGCATTTTCTCGAGTGTAGATGAAAGTGATCAAGATATAATACTGCGTAAAATTTACCAGTTATATGAGGAACAAAGCGTGCCTACATTAGATATCTTAATTAGGAGGCTTGAAAAAGATGAAACCGGTGTTTAATGTGACAGAACTACCTTATGGAAGTGTATTCAACACATGGGTTTTAGATTTTAAAAAATTGGCTACTGGAATATCAAGAGAAAATTAGGATTTACAGAGAACAACAAATGCCAATTATTTACTTGGATGAATCCTGATTCGACACTTGTGATACCCCGGAAAAGGGTTGGGTTGACTCAACTGATAAGAAATGATTGAAAGAATAACTATTTTGCATGCTGACTCTAAAGATGATTGGATTCCAAATGGACTTTCTCTGATTTCGAAAAATATTAAAGACTCTTCACCGCTGATTTATTTGAAAGTTGATTTAAAAACAAATTCTGTTAAACATATAGAAAAAGCAGAACAATGGTATATCCATATTGCAAATAATATAGAACAAATAATAATTAGAACAGGCGATGATAGCGATAGTGATACTGATATATTATGTGAATACTTTTAAGTAATTTAAGAAGGTAACAAAAGTGATTTGTAGTTTTATTTTAGATTTAAGCATAAATACATACATAAATAAATAAATATTGTTTAGTATCTTTCCTAACAAAACCCCAAATAATTAAATTCTAAGTAGGGACCTGTTCGGCCATAATTCATTCTTACAGCTCGCCCGGGTCTTTCCTTAATTCGTATCAGTTAGTTACTTTCTTATATCTATGAACAGACTTTACTTAGTTCTAATTCGTTATACAGAGTGGATTAATACATAGCTTTGTGTGGAGACCCAATAGTACAACAAATTTTGTTCGTAATACAGAGTTTCGCAATAGCGAGTATTCACTTTGTAAGCCGACTAAAGAGTGTCGGATGAACATCGGAAAAATGTTTGCTCTCTGAATAGTTTTGCACTTGACCCGCTTATTCGAAATTACGCCGTAAACGCGAGCAAACAAGACCGAGTCTCGAATTTTATACATTTTCGGGAAACGATAAACAGGTACTCGGGCGCATAAAAGAAACAAACGATGAAATCAGAGGTTGTGAAAATGCGGCAATAAATATTTACGTTGGAGATTAGGCGACGGCTACGATGAGCCATCGAGGTGAAAGCATCGACTTTATTTAGCGATGATAATACGCTCACGGTAATCAATCATCGCGAGACAATCGCGTTTATTATTGAATTGAATGTTTCTTTTCGGGGATAACGGCCGCAAATATGACGTAAGGCTTCCAATTTGATTTTTCTCTAGTGCGATCACAGTAAAATTCGATATTCGATAAGATCTAAAATTTATTGAGATATACGAGGCGGGTTCAAAAAGTAAGGCAACTTATGTACTACGCCGCGATAATAAAAAAATCAGTAAACAAAAATTTGACATTTGATCGAATAGCGTAACCAAATACCGATGGCACGAGATGCCGACGTCTTCAGCGAAGATTTTTCAACACCAGTTGTTTCACTTCTTCCACGCTTTCATTAGTTATTCACGTGTTGGGGCGTCCAGAGCGATCTAAGAACAGCTTGTTCCGGTTATAAACATTTTTTTTGCCCAAAGTATATTCATCATATGTCGTTGTCAACATTTCAAGTGTTTTGCAGAACCGTTTTCCATTTTTTACACAAAATTTTATGATACTTTTGTTATTTGGCCCCCTCAAACAATATATAAGCAGGTACAGAGTAAAATACGAGCCAGTTTCAGTCGAACTCTGAAGAAGCCAACAGGATGATTGCCGAATCGTCAGCAATTTCGATACAGCAAAAACCGACGCAGGAGGAATCCAAAAGTTTTGTAAAAAGTAGGCTGAATCTACTTATGAAATTAAAATTAAACTTCATGCACGAATTCTGGATTCAAGGATACTCGCACTTAACCCATATCGAAATGGAATTTACACAATCCAAATTACGAGCATAAGTAAGCATGAATTTATAACAATAAAATATGTAACTTGCACTACACATCAAAGAAGAGCCTTACTATGACATTAATTTACACTTCATTTTTATACCTTAGTTACTTCACTCAGTAAATGCCTTTTTAAATATAAGCTAAGATCTTAGATGCCCATCACCTTAAGAAAATCATCGTAATCTTTTTGGTTTAAAGCTTTCTTGCAAATTTCTCTACGGGTTGTATAAAACTATACTCATGTTTACAGAATAAACTATAAAAACAATTTATTATAAAACATAAACAAAAATTAATTAACGCATCGCATGGAAATGTAAAAGAGCAACTTTCATGTTTGTTATAACAAGATAGTATGTTTTAAAGCTAATATTATTATATTATACTATATACTATATACTATATTAATATTTAGACTCCTGTTTTTATTATGCAAGTATGGAATACTTTTAAGCATCTCTATAAAAGGCATTATTGTTATTTGTTATAATTTCAGTTTAATCTAAAGTTGAATCTAAAGTTCTATCGAATTTTTTCCTTTCTCTCAGCCTTCAGATCTTCATTGTCATTTTTATATGACATTAATGTTTCCTTTCTACTGATTATAGTGATATAATTATTTTATTATAGAGCGTTTGTTTGAAGGTCATAAATGTTGATAAATCAGATGTTTTCGATATCCACCGTCTTTATTATTAACATTGCCAAATTTATAAATAGTAAAATTGCTCCAGTCGTTTCGTTTCTTTTTATAACCCGATTTGTATCTATAACTTTTGCTGTTTTTCTGTCCTATCATTTAATTTAACGCTTATTTATTGTGTGTGACGTATATTTTGTTCGTTATTTCCGACGTGGCCGGTTAGATTTGCCGAAATAAAAATGTGGACCGTATGTTTCGCGTGCACGGCTCGGTGGAGATTCCGTGCGTCGCGACGCCGATGGGAAGTGACGCGAGGCGTCTGTTTATCTGACGCGGGACGTCGCGCGACGTCGTTCAGTCGAATTCGGACGCTCGTGAGGGTTGGCGTCGCGACGGACTCGACATCGCGACGCCACGTGTGGTGCTGGACCTCGTATCGAGTTAAATGTTCCGGTTTCGAGGAAACTTTTAAAGTAAGCGCATTTTTGGTTGTTAAACGTTATCCGTAACACCCTGTAGATCAAAATCGAACTATTTCCGGATGCGACTCCCTATTTTAGAGCGAACTCGAAATATGAACGTTTAAATTCGGGTATATTTTCCTCACGTTAAGCGCGTATTTTTCCGAAATAGCATTTTAATGGACACAAATTTGACACTTTTAAAGGGAAACTCCGCTGGTGCTCTGTTTTCATTAAAAAATCCCCTATACAGTAACTTTTTACTCTGAATTTAATAACTTAAATATGTTTCTAAAACAGGCTGATATAAATTAAGCGTTCGTCATTGGTAATAAAGAAAACAATTGAAAAAAGTGTTCTTTTTTACATGGAACCCCATTTATATTATTCACTCTAACGTTCGTAAATCAACAACAAAATAAAAATTCACATATTCCGCTTTTAGACTAGACGGCTATGACTGGTTGCGAGATAAAACTTCATTTTCCTTTTACTGGGGCGTGAGAAATATGGAAATAATAAAATAGAAAAAAATCTTGACCAATATTGACGATTTTTTGTTTTTTTCCACGTCTTCGGTTATAATAAAACTTTTTCGTCTCATTGTTTTTGCAAAAACGGTTTCATTATGTCTAAAGATTGAATAAAATGGCGGAAAAAATTGTTTTAGTGCTGGAACGCCCTGTGGATATAGGTTTATCTAATGTTTTCTTCCCCTTCCGTTCTTTTCTTCATGTGTAACAACCATTTTTGAATAAGGGATACAGGAACATCAATTTAAAGAATTGATAACAACTGATACAACAATACTAATAACTAACACATTAATAGTATACTGTGCAACAAGTGCGGATGCGGATCCGTGGGAAACGAAACCGACGTGGTAAAGTGACGCTTCCTGCACGCTAGAACGGTGTGTAATTGGGTATCTTACAGACGGAAGAAGAAGAAGAAAAATAACAAATAAAACGATAAAAGCAAAATGGAGTTTTATTTCGCAACCACTCATAGCCATCCAGTCTAAAAGAAAAATGTGCTGATGATTCGGTTATTTTTTGTTCTGTTGGCGATTTACGAGTAAAAATGTACAGGGTGGTTCATTTAAAAAGGAGGACATATTCCTTATTGCTTATGCTACTGGTTTGCTGATTTGGCCGACTTTGTATCTCTACTCATGACAATTATGATGACTTAATGTAGATCAGCCGGTATGTTTTTATATATTTATTATTTAACTTGAAATTACCTCTCTAAAGCGTATTCGATATTTTGCTGGAGTTTTATTCAAAATACAGAGTTTTTAGCACTTTCAACCATTAGGGTTTGGACCTCTTAAAGACGTATTGTAAAGTTTGGGAAGAAGCGGTTCATAAACTATAATAATAATTTATTATTATTGGACTGGACTTGAAAAAATAAATTAATAAAATATAAAAAAAGAACAATAATTTCAGTCACATACAAATTAAGGCAAAATAAAGGCCACTAAAAATCCAACGCTAAAGACACCCATTAAATTGGCAAAAGAACTAACGTTAAAAGAACTTAAAACATGTAACCAGTACTCGTTTTCTGTTGATTCTTTGACCTTTATTTGAAAAAATTTTTCATTCATCTTTTCAATGATCCAAAAATATACAGGGTGTCCGATTTTTATAAAAAAAAAACGTCAACGACAATCGAATGCGACGAGTTGTTCTTGAAATGTTTTCATGTAATCACAAAATTTGCGATAACAACAACAACATAGCCTATGCAAAAACCACCTACACAAAAGGAAAAAAAATCTTGAGACACCGGTGAAACATTTTCAAACATATAATTTTTGTATTCGGTTCTTGTAAATACGTATGTTAATTTGTAATTCCATTTTGAGCTCTTTGTTAGGTGTCCATTTTGGTTACTTTTTTTAAGGTTGCTGCATAAACGTTAGGTCGAAGAACCTTTTATTTTTGAGATAATGCCTTATTTTGTGTCAACGCTCGTTAAAAATAGAAATAACTCTGTTTGGAATTAGATCACGATAATATGATAAACGACCAAGCGCTCGAGTGCGGACCGTATGACGGTAATACTTAGTATTTAACAATTCCAGTGGCGTAGATAAGTTATCAGCAAAACATGATATACGGATTTCAAAAAGTCACGCATAACGATGAAGCGTTAACATCGCCTAACTTACCATAAAATTAGAAAAAAGATAGTTTAAACATTTAACTGTAAAAGGGCTGCCTCCACGCCCTCTGGAAAAGTAAACAAACAAAAAAGATATTAGCAAATCAGCCTTGTCGATTACAGAAAAAATAAGCATTGTGCGCCTTATAATTTTTACATTTTCTGTTACCGAGAAGACTGGCCGAATAATCCTAGCACACGTGACCATAACAACTAAATAAGACGATACGTACCTAACAATTTTACTTCGCAATCGGAGCAATCAATACCTCGAATCAAATAACTGCTCTGCTCGCTACTGGCATTAATGAGCTCGCCATCGAGATTAGTTTGGGCGACGGTGCTCAAAGTCAATCATTTATTGAGAAATCAGGCGTGCCAACGACAGAGCAGAATAATTAAGCGCCTCGTAACGTCAGAGTTTGGATTCATTTCGTGGAATTCGCACCTAAACCGAATCGAATCGAGTAGAGCCGGTTGGCGCTTTCCTCTTCTTTTTTCGCTAAGTTATTAGTAACCGTCTTCTTCTTTTACTTCTGTTGGCCCCGACCGCTAAGATCATTCGGCCATTTAAGCCGTACAAACCACTTCTTCTTTTCCTTCTAACGCATTAAATCAGTTTCCATGCATATACGTAACATTTTTGCAATAAAACTTGTCGTAAAAAATATAACGCACTAGGCGTCGGCAGTTATTTAATAGTATAAAAGGCTGTTTGAAAGTCAGGACGAGCGGCGAAAGAATAAACTCCGCTGACAGGGAGACCGGATCACCATTTTGTATAGTCCGTCGCCGAAATAGGCGTTATTTACTGCGTACGTGGATGGAAATGTTTCATTGTCCGTGACTCGATTTAAATAAAGCCGGCTTTTGTTCGTCGACGCTTATTGTCCCGCAGGTTTTCAGCGTTTTGAGTGTGATGGACGTCTCAATTTCAAACGGTCGCGCGATAAATGAGAAGAAAGTTAGGTTAGGTTCGGTTTTGTTGGTGCATTTAGGAAAAAAGTTTTTTTTTTTAAATCGCACGAATCCTTTGCAGTTCGTAAAATATCAAAAGTGAACTTTGAAAACTTACAGCATTTCAAAAAAATTGTGGTATGTGGTCAAGTGCGTTCGAAAAAAAAAGAAGAAGATTTCCAATTCATTTACTGGAGAGTGTCTGCGTTCATAACAAAAAAAAAATTTAGGTTAGCTTCGGTTTTTGTTTAGCATTTTAGGTGTGTTTCAGCAATTTCGACTAAGCAAAAACCGGCGCAAGAGGAATCCAAAATTTTTGTAAAAGGCATTACCTTAGTTCCAGTTTTTCTTGATATTTTCGATGCAATGAATAATTTTAGTTAATTTAAAGACATTAATAAAAGCGTTCGACATTTTAGATTACGCGAATCCTTTGCAAGTCGCAAAGTTCCAAAACTCAATTGGGAAAACTTAAAGTAACGTTAACGTATGATGATAGCCCCGTCCGGAAAAGAGATTTCCAAGTCATTTACTGTGAAGTGCGTTGGAGGCCTGCGTTCATTCAATTTTGACAACTTAAAGTGACGTCATTCAGGAAAGTGTCAAGTCAAGTGGTCAAGTGAGCCTCATCGGGAAAAGAGGAAGAAAATTTTCAACTTATATACTGTGAAGTGCGTTGGAGGCCTGCGTTCATCATTTAAAAAAGTTAGGTTAGTTTCGTTTTTTGATAGACTTTTTTTTGGAAAAATTAAAGTAACGTCATTCAAGGAAGTGATGACAGTCGCGTTAGAAAAAGAGGAAGAATATTTCCAATACATATACTATGAAGTTAGGTTAGGTTGGATTATTGTTGGTGTTTGTAATGTAATATAAAAAATGCTGTATATATGCTCATATAGTGCGAAGTTTGAGGGAATCGACATTATGTCGAGTTTTTTCACACCAGTGATCGAGCAGTTGGCATTAACATAAATAATTTAAGTTTGTCTCAGTTTTAAAATAGTACTCACTTAAACTATAGACATTATAATTAAAAATAATTTAATTTAAATAGTTTCCGGCTTTTTCGCTTGTTCAAGTTACTTTCTATTTTTTTTTTTTTTCTACGATCGCTAATTTGTCTAAGACACCCGGTATATGTTATGAAAAGTGATCGTCACGACTGTATGTTTCGTTAGCTCGTAAATTTATCGAAAAACTCGCGTTTATTTTAATTCGCGTCTGATTTATAAGCGACTGGAAAAAATAAGCCCCGGGGAAAATAATTACGCCCGAATATCAAATTAGCTTCCGAGTGACGGGTATTCTAACCTCTAAAGTCGTCAAACGGATCCCGAAATGAACGTGAACTTGTTACTTTGACGATTACCATGTCGGATTTTTTGTCGCCAAGGCAACCAGAAAATTCGCGTCGTAAGTAATTAATCTATTTTAAAAAAACGTCGTAGATTTAATAATTTTCTTAGAATTAATTGTGCTATCAATTTCCCCAACTTTTCGCTATTTTTCGAGGGTTTCTTAACAATCAAAATTCTTTAATCCAATATTCTTACTAAATATTTTACGTTGCAATGGCTATGTGTGTGGCCCCTTGTTCGCTCGGTTTTCTCTTACGTGACACCGGTTTACTGAGAGATACTAAGGCAAAATAGAGTATTAGATGCGTATTACAGGAAGTCGTAACAATTACCATCCGTCACACTATGAGACTACATTTGCTTTTCATTGACTCATATCATACCCAAACACCGCATCAAAACTGCAAATATCAGTTACCTTTGTTGTCAATGTGTTGCAAACCCTAGTCAAACTTGGCGTCTTCTTGCCTTAGAGTAACGCAAACCGTTATAAACCATTAGATATCGACGTAGAACCAACTT